CTGGGCCTGGCCGCCCTCCTCTCCCAGCCTCGTCTCCAAAGAGCGCTGCGCCGGGCCGCCGTCTCTCTCTGCAGGGGCGGGGGAGGCGACGCCAGGCTCTCGCCGCCCGGCCCTGCTCCTCGCTGCGGAGCCGCTGCCTGAGGAGCTGGTGCGGGCTGACTCCTGACCCCCTCCCCGGCGCCGCAGATAGAGCCCCCTGTCCCCGAAGACCCACTTCGGGATGTTCTAAGGCCCGTTAAGTTCCTGGTTTTTAGGTGGCAGTAGAGGCGGGACAGGCCGTTAGATACGCAGGGGGTTCATAATTAGTTGTGGACTGTCAGGAAGAAAGCTGTGTCATTGGTAAACAACAAAGCGAAACCACCTGGTATTCACGGTTCCTGGTGGTAGTATATTCCTGGAACGCAAACTTTTGAGCTTAATGTAGGTCTGATTTTTGTTTTTTAAGTGACAGTGTTGGGAGGGAGAGTCTAGTATGGAATAATTACTTCGTTGCAGGTTGAATTTTTAGCAGTTCTTGAAAAGAAGCCGAGTTTCAGGCCTTAGTTCTTCCCTTGTCTTTCTAGTCTAAAATCTGCCTACTTTCGAGAGCGTGCACTAAACTCATTTACCTTATGCGGCTCAAGGTTATTTTGCCCCATATTCATTTATTACTGAAACCTTCTAGATTTACAGTATACCTTATGCCTTTATGGCTTTACTGATTCTCATTACATGACCCATATCAGTGTATGTGATTAATGTTAATTTGAACTGTGTTATTTTTTCGATTTATTTGTGTTTAATAACAGTTTACTCATAATTCACTCCCTCCTCTTGGGAGACTAAACAGTAGTTCCATAACATCATGCACAGCAGTGAAGAACAAGCTGTTTAAATTATGCTAAATTTTTAGCCCAGAACCGTTAATTGGAAGAGCTTGAATAGTTTGGACTCTTTTATGCTACCTGTTTTGGAATTATATTACACTTTACGTAAATAAGTAACTGCTATAATCCTGTAAGAAATAAAGTGGCATAAAGAAAAGGAAAACTAAATGACACTGATGCTTATTAAAAGAATACAATAATAGTTTTATGATATTTTAAGTTAGTGTTTTTCACATAAAATCTTAATTCATCGTGGTAGGTAGAACCAATTTTTATTACCCCCTTTTATAGATAAAGAAACTTAACTGCAGCCATTAAGTGACATGTACTCGGGTCACAAAAAGATTGGCTGAATTTTTAGCAGTTTCAAAAAAAATCTTGCTTTTTTGTTTGAGAAAAAAGGAAGAACAATTGTAGACTGTTTATGTAGTTATTTAAATTGGTGTAGAAATCAAGAAATCTAGAATGGTGGTAGTTATCTGTTTAAACAAAAAACACAATCCATGGTCTCCAAACGTTTCTAGAAGGTGGTGGTTGTTAGGTGACCATCGAGTTGATTCCGACTCAGAGCGACCGGATGTACAACAGAACAAAACACTGCCTGGTCCTGTGCCATCCTCACAGTTGTTGCTGTGTTTGAGCCCGTTGTTCCAGCCGTTGTGTCAGTCCATCTTGTTGAGGGTCCTCTTTTTCACTGACCAGGCACTTTACCAAGCATGATGTCCTTCTTCAGGGACTGGTCCCTCCTAATAACGTGTCCAAAGTACTTAAGACGAAGTCTCACCATCCTCCCTTCTAAGGAACATTCTGGCTATACTTTGTCCAAGACAAATTTATTTGTTCTTCTGGCAGTCCATGGTATATTCAATTTTCTTCGCCAGCACTGTAATTCAGAGGCATTAATTCTTCTTTGGTCTTCCTTATTCATTGTCTAGCTTTCACATACGCATGAGGCGATTGAAAATGCCATGGCTTAGATCAGGTACATCTTAGTCCTCAAAGTGACATCTTTGCTTTTTAAAGCTTCAGAGGTCTTTTGCAGCAGATTTGCCCAGTGCAGTAATTCGTTTGATTTCTTGACTGCTGCTCGCATAGGCATTGATTGTGGATCCAAGTAAAATGAAATCTTAGCTTCAGTCTTTTCTCCGTTTATCATGATGTTGCTTATTGGTCCAGTTGTGAGGATTTTTGTTTTCTTTATGTTGAGGTGTAATCTATGCTGTAGGCTGTCCTCTTTGATCTTCTCAGTAAGTGCTTCAAGTCCTCTTCACTTTCAGCAAGCAACGTTGTGTTATCCGCTTATCGCAGGTTGTTAAAGAGTCTTCCTTCTACAAGGTACTCTTGGGATAATCAATTTGAAAGACGCAATCCTAGATTTAATTAACAAATATCTGGAAACCTATTTGGAAATACTAGTGCAGATTTATTACAATAATAAAATAACACTATAAGTCTTATACTTTGGGCCTTTGTGTACTTACACATTCTTTAAGTTTTTGCTGATGAATGTGTATGCAGTTAGAATTTTAATGACTCCACTGTTTGCAGAAAGATCATTAGCAACTTGGCAAAAAAGTCTCTCCCTTGACCTGTTCAAAAATACTATTGGCTTTTCTACAGTTTTAGCAAGTTAATCCCCAAGACTAAGTAGGGTTAGTGTCACTTGAGGAATATGTAGATAATGGACACATGAAACTGCAACCCTTACAAATTGCTTAATGTTTTGTTCATAACTTTGAAGAATACAGCCAGAACTCACGGTTTTCTTAGATATGAGACCTTAACAATAATGTGGAAAATTTTTTTGAATTTGGAAACTTTTTAAAAAGATACTTTTATGGCTGGAAGGAATGGTCTCGGGTGTATGTTCCTTCATATAACTATTCATATGGGAAACAATTTAGGCAAGCTGTTTATATTTAGTGAAAGTTTTGTGGATGAATTAAAAAATATGTTAGGAGACTGGAGAGATTACTACTAGTTCAGCCAACAAATTAACAAAGATTTTCAAAGTATTGTAGCTATGTAAATTGAAAGAAGTAAAACTGAAAAGAGATTTTGATTTTCTTCTTGGGAAGGTAGAATGAGCTGACAAGGAGCCTGAAGCAAAGGTGTTTCTTCTCTGCTGACTAATATTCCTAGTGGGCTAAAATTTATTAGACAGATACCATTTACTGCCTTTTTGGATTAAAATAGACCACAAAAGCCTTTAGGTTTTGAGCAATTGAAATCTTCTAGGTTGGAAGGGCTGGCTGCAAGCACTGGTTACCACATCAAAGATGTGGTGAAACCCATGTGAAATTGTGCACTACAAATTAGTAAGTAAACACAAGTAAGCCCATGTATGCCTTGCTTCCTGTAAGCCTATGCGTACCTTGCTTACTGATTAATCTGCCCCTGGCTGGCTGTAGTAGGGTCTGCATTTCTTTGCCTCTGGGATTGTGCTCCTCTCCTTTAGGTGCCTTGACTTTGGATACTGCTGATATCACCAAGGATGTAATATTTCCTTCTAAAATGTAGGTCCCACCTGACTCCATAGTATAGTTCATAATTTAAAATAAAAAAACTAAAGATACCGAACTTGGGAATTAGTTCTACTCATTAGTTATAAATATTCAGAAAGCTCTCACTGTATTGAGTATAGGCAGTCCCCGGTCCCCAGATTACAAACGAGTTCTGTTCCTAAGTCTGTCTTCAAGTTGAATTTGTATGTTAGTCGTAACAGTTAGGTACAGTTTGTATCTAAGGTCAGTTAGTCAAATGTTACTCTTATTATATGGTATATAGTGTACCTTTCTAAGCATAAAAAACATTAAACATTTTCAGATACACTAAAACATCTTTAACGTAATAATACAGTAATAATAATGTTTTGATGCATGTCGAAAAGTAGTGTCTGTTATTACGAGCCATTGTATGTACCTTGAATTTTTAATGTAATAGGCTTTACGGGGTTGGTTCATGACTACGGGTTGTGCTTACTCAGATGCTCGTAACCTGGGGACTGTCTATAATTCCATGCAGCCTTCTACCCCTCTGGTGAAGCAGCTGCTGCCACCACTAGGTTGAATCATGGACAGAAACTGCCAGTGAGGAGCTACATTTGGGACCCTAACCACATGACACAGTGTAGATGAGTAAGAAGCACCAACCCCAAATGAAGCAGGTCTATATTTTCAGCTGCCTCGTTGACATACGCACTTGAATGCTTCACAGGATTCCCAAACCTAAAAGTATTATTTACTGCCTAAACGTGTTGTTTTCCCCCCAGTCTTCTATATTTCAGTAAATGGCACTACCATACATGTAGTTGGATAAACCATAAATGTGAGAGTCATCTTTGACTCTTCTTCCAGAGTTTCACGTATAACCCATCTTAAGTCCTGATGGTTTACCTCCTAAATATAAAAATACATCCTGACTCCATCCACTTCATCTCTGTAGCAACCATGCTACTCCAAGGTACAATTATATCTCACCTGGATCACTAAAATTGCCTCTAAACTGATATCTCTACTTCCACTTGTATCCCCTTACAATTCTATTACGAGACAGAGGCCAAAACTTAAAAAAAAAAAACAAAAAAAACCCCAACTAAACAACTATGTCATTCCCTTGCTTATTTTCATTATACTTAGGAAAACAACAAAAAACTATCCAGACTTCTTAGACATAGCTTACGAGGTCCTGCATGATCAGGCCCTTGGCTTAACTCTTCAGTCTCATCTTGCCCTTTGCTCCCCATTGTTCATGACACGCAGTCACACAAGGCCTTTCTTTAAAAGTTCCAAGCTCTTTCTTGCCTCTGGACCTTTGCACACCTATTCCTTCTGCTTGGTGAACTCTTTCTGCCTCTTTGTGTGGCTCAGCTCTTTCACCCCCTAGCTCTTATTTTAAATGTCACCTCAGAGAAGGCTTCCCTGACTAAAGAGGTCTCTCGTTATTTTCTCCCATAGTTTTGTTTTCATCACAGCATTTATTGTGATTATTTATGGTTGTTTACTTGTTGAATATTTTTTTCTACCATTAGATTTTGTTGTTGTTAGTTGCCACCGAGTTGATTCCAACTCATGGTAACCGTGTGTGTGCAGAGTAGAACTGTGCTCCATAGGGATTTCTCGGTTGTGACCTTTTAGAAGCAGATCACCAGGCCTGTCTCCCAAGGTGCTGCTGGGTGGATTTGAACCACCAACCTTTTGGCTAGTGGTCACACATCTAACAGTTTGTGCCACCCAGGGACTCCTACCATTAGATTTTAAGCTCCATTAAGGGTAGGCACTGTGTCTCGTATAGTATATAGCTCAGTGCCTAGCACATAAGTGCAGTAAAATAGTGAACGAATGAAAGAACAAATGAATGAAAAGGATCCCTCACTCCTCACTGCTTTCTCCAAGAAGTGTTTGTAGTAAAGAGTGTCCCGTGTAGATACTTTTATCGGTTGATAGTCAAGTTATTAACATAGTATTTTACAACTCTCCTCAACCCATAGTCTCTGAAGACATACTCAGAACAGTAGTTTTCCCTCATTTTGTTTCTTCAGCATTTAGGAGTCTGCCAGTGGACCGTTCTTTTTGATCTTGCTCTGTGGATGCACCCTCGTTCCTGTTAACTTTTCCATGGCCAAGTTTTTCAAGCCCCTATTCCTGGTATTCCTGGATCTCACCTCACACAAAATATATTCAGATGTGCAGTATTAGAGTCATGTATTTCAGGCATACTAAGATGCTTTCTATACCATGGTCTGTAATTGCAGAAATTTAGCTACTCATTCCACAAAATATTTGTTGAGTGCCTACTGTATGCCAGATGGCTACTGTATGCCAGGCATTTGAGTTACATCAGTAAATAAAACAGAAAAAAAAGAAATCCTTGCCTTCACAGAGCCTTCATTCTGTGGGGGGAGACATACAATAAAAAGCGAACATAAAACACAGAGTATATTAGAAGGTGATACGTATTACAGAAAAAAAAAAAGGTGTTAAGGGAGCTTTGGGAATGTCAGAAGGGTGTACTTTTAAAGTGGGTGATTAAGGAAGGCCTTAACTGAGAAGGTGATGCTTAAGCAAAGACTTAAAAGGATTTGAGAGTTAACCATGTAGCTGTCTGGGGGAAGACCATTCTAGGCAGAGGAAACAAAGACTTTAAGGCAGCAGTATGTCTTTCATATTCGAGAAATAGCAAGGAAGCCAGTGTGGTTGGAGCATAGTGAGGGGGAAAGCAAAATAAATGAGGTCAGACGTAACTGGAGGCCTGATATATAGGACCATGTGGGCCATTGTAAGCACTGTGGTTTTTACTCTGAGGCAAATAGGGAGCATTGTAGAATTTTTCACAGAGGGATGATGTGATCTGACTTTCTTTTTAAAGAAAATTGCTGTGTTAAGAATAGACTGCAAGTAGGGAGACCAGTTAACAGCAATTGCAGTCATCTAGAGGAGTTGTGGTGGTGTCTTGGATCCGGGTCGTAGCAGTGGAAGTGGTGAGAGATAGTTAACATTCTGGGTATATTTTGAAAATAGAGCCAGCTGGACTCAAGGATAACTAAGGTGTTTGGCCTGATAACTGAAAGGATGGAATTACCATAAACTGAGATGGCTAAAGGTGGTACATAAATGGAGGAGGGAGGAGTGCAGGGAGAAAGCAGTTTCCAAAAAGAGTAGGTATCTCACTTTTGGAAAACTCAAAATGTGGCCTGAAAACATTTTTTTAATCTGTAAATTGACAAAGATTGCTCACATTTGAGAAAGCACTTAGCTTTACTAACCTGAAATATTTTTCAGTGACTCAATCAGGTAGGTTTCCTTCTGCCCACTTTAAGTGGTTCTGCTGAAATCTAGACATTACAAGTTAAACTTGAAACAGTTTTGATCTGTATAAATCTAGGTCTTGAGAGGTACAACTTTTAAAACATTTTTTATTGCAGTATAACATACAGTAAAGTGCACATATATTAAGTGACCATCTCAGTGAATTTTTATATATGAATACACCTGTATAACTTATGCAGCTCAAGATATAGAACATTCCCAGCACCCCAGAAGGCTCCTTCACCACTATGTTGATTTCCATCACCACAGATTAGTTTGGATCAGCATAACTTTTATAAAATGATAATTAGCTTACCTGTAATAAAGGTAAGTCCAAAACTGTAAACAGAATTGAACCTACCTCTGTCTGCTTTGATGTGGAAGACGTTGGACTCTTCAACAGAAAGGTACTACACACGGGAAGGATAAATTGCACTTTTATTTTCTAAAATCATATCTTTAAAAGCCAAAATAGACATTTCTACTGATGACTTTTTATTGTTGTGATATTTTTGGCCTTATAATTTGAATCATCTTTTAGAAAATACTTTGTATAATCTAAATAGCAGAATTTCATTTTTCATTGCTCTTTATGTCAACAGTGCATTCACACTTCTCATTTTATGGAAAAAATCAGTTTTCAAATTTGATAGAAAATATTATTTGTGGGGCTATGTTTTATTTGAAATGCCATATTTCCAGGGAAAATAATTTGCTGTCAGCAGATACTGACTTAATGTTTTAAGAATCTTTGAAATGTTTTACAGGTAATGATGAGCAGTCTACACAAATGGCTGCAAGTTGGGAAGATGAGAAAGTGACAGAAGCATCCTCAAACAGTTTTGTTGCTATTAAAATTGATACCAAAAGGTTTGCTTGTGTTTTAATATTTCATGACTTTTAAATATTGTGATCATGGTGTTTGGTTGAGATTTATGGTGATTCTCTTGGATTATGAGAATATTGATGCTACATTTTTCGATGTGTAAGGCATATTGGGGGCTTAACTTTTGAATGCCATTTTCCACAGTAATTATTATATCTTGCTGCAAAATCTTCAAATTTTCTTAGTCTACCAAGCAGCTGTGTGACATGTACCAGGAATGCAAAGAGAACTGTGATCTTCAGTTCCCAAGAATTTGGAAGTAACTGTAAATCATATATTGAATATTTCTGAAAAATTGATCAACCACTCTTGTTGATCCTGTATTTGGGAATGGAGCCATTTAATTGATAGGAATAAAGACATTTATAGATCCCTCATAGTAGTTGATATCCTCAAATCTGTTTTGTTTCACCATGTTAGAAAATTTTTTTATTATGGAAAATTTTAAATATATTTTTATTATAGAAAAATTCAAACATACAGAAGTAATTGAATATGTAATGAACTCCCACATACTTCCAACTAACTCTGATAATTATCAGCTCATAGCCAGCCTTGTTTCATCTGTATCCCCACCCACTTCCACTCATCTCGTACAATTTTTTATTGTGGCAAAACACATAAACAAAACATTTGACATCTCAGCCATTTTTATGTGTACGATTGAGTGACGTTAATCATGTTCACCATGTTGTACAACCATCACAACTTTCCATTTTCCAGGGTTTTTTTTTATCGCCCTTAACAGAAATGCAGTACCCATTAAGCTTTCTTCTGGATTCTTCGGGATTTTATATATATAGGATCATGTCAAATTTGAATATAGATAATTTTACTTCCTTTCCGAATTGAATGCCTTTTACTTATTTTTTTCTTTTTCTTGCCAAATTGCTCTGGCTAGAGCTTCCAGTACAGTGTTGCCTGGCAGTGGTGAAAGTGGACATCCTTGTCTTTATCCTGATCTTAGGAGGAAAGCTTTCAGCTTTTCTCCACTGAGTATGTTAGCTGTGGATTTTTCATAAATGCTCTTTTTCATGTTGAGGAATTTCCCTTCTATTCCTTGTTTGCTGAATGTGTTTATCATGAAATGGTGTTGGATTTTGTCAAATTCCTTTTCTACATCCGTTGAGATGATCATGTGTTTCTTTTCCTTCATTCTGTTAATGTGGTATATTATATTCATTAATTTTCTTATATTTGACCCACCTTTGCATTCTTGGGATTAATCCCATTTGGTCATGGTATATAATCCTTTTAATATCATATTAGAATTGGTTTGCTAGTATTTTGTTGAGGATTTTAGCGTGTGTATTCATAAGGTCATCCCAGGTATATCATTCTATCTATAAATATTTAAGTATATCTCCGAAACAGAAGTAGTCTTGAAATTTTTAACATAACTCTAATATTTCAGAAACAAATTAATGATTCTTTAATATCCAATATCCAGCCAGTGTTAAAATGCATTTGTCTCATCAGTGTCATAATTTTATTTATATATGTGTTTACTTTATTACAATTTGTTTGGTTCAGGATCCAAAAATGGTAACGATTGGGTTGACCTCTCCTTTAAGTCTCTTTTAGTCTGTAGACTTCCCTTCCATATCTGTCTTTCTGTCTCAGTCTTCCCTCTCTCTCCATCCCTCCCTCTCACCCTTCTCCTCTTTTTCCTTCCCCTCCTCTCTTCTCTCTCCTCTCTTCCTCCCTCTACTTTCCTTGCAGTTTACTTTTTTAAGAAACCAGCTAATTTTTTCTGTAGAGTTTCTTACAGTGAGGATTTTGTTGATTGCATCCCCTTTGGTGTCATTTGATTTGTTCCTCTGTTCTCTATTTCCTGTAAATTAATAGTTGTATCTTGGGACTTGATCACATTCAGATTTGATTTTTTTTTTTTCTCAAAAGTACTTCTAGGTGGTGGTTGTGTGTCTTCCATCAGAAGGCATATAATGTCTGGTTGTCTCTCTTTATGATGTTAGCAGCTACTGGTGATCAGTGCCTGGAAATACTCACTAGTAGTTGCAAAATGATATTGTGATATTGATAATATCAGAGTGAATAGTGTGTCTGAAAATTAGACAAGATTAAACTGTTCAGAAATTAACTGTAAGTGTATAAACTTACTTAGAATTTTCCATAGTAACAAAAAAAGTCCAAACAAAGTAAATCCTAGTATACCCTGGCTCACAATAAGCTGTTGAACTATACATTTATTGAGCTATAAAAGTTTTGTAAAAAAGGAATCTATAAAATATTTATATTGCCCATTATTTTCCACAGGCACCTTTTGAGTCAGGAATAGCAGGAGGAATATGGGAATGTAGAAGAAATGAGAATTTCTGAATTCTTTAAGATTATATACAGATTGATTTATCTAGCATTTTTTAAAACAGGCTTTCTGTTAGGGATACATGGATGCCTGTGTATGGTGGTAGTTGATGTTTGTTTCATTATGGTCTGCCTCATAATAGAATCTAATGTATCTTTTAAATCAGGAAAAGAAAATTTTATTATACTGTAATTATTAAATTACCTAATATTTTGAGGATATTTTATTTTATGTGTGTGTTTATTTATGGAGGCAGCATGCATAGAAAATAGATTGGTAGGAAATGCATAAAAATATACGGTGGTTATTTCAGAAATGATAGGATTCTGGAAAATTCTTTTCTTTGTTTTTGTTAGTTGCTGTCAAGTAGGCTCTGACTTGTGATATTTTCCTATGAATTCAGATGTTTTTATCATACTTTTTATTCAGAAAAAATGAAACATTCTTGGAAGCATTAATTTGATTCTTGGAATTACTCATCTACATTGATCAATGTCTCTTATTTATATTATTAGTAAAAGTTCATTTCCCATCCAAGTCCCTGACCACCCAGTTTTCTTCTCTGGAGGCAGCCAGTGTCAACAGTTTCTCTGTATCCTTCCAGAGATATTTCTTCACATAATGAAAAAAGTATATCCGTTTTCCTCCTTTTTTTTTTTTTTACAGAAATGGTAGCATTTTGATACACTTTCTTTTTTATAGTTGCATAATTAGTTTTTGTTATGGAATATTTAGGTTAGAAGGTATTGTCACATGCACAAGTAAGTGATAGACATTAATTTCTTCTTTTACAGGTTGATATATTCAGGTACACTTACTTGCTGCTGAAGAAGCAACTTGGCAGTTACTAACTCTGGATTTTTAGTAACCAGATCCAGATACCAGTTTGTAGGTTGCAAGAGCAAGTGGTTCTTTAATCTGAAAATTATAAAACAAGCTAAAAAAATCTTGTGAAATAAGAATTGTATTTTTCTCCTTTAGCTGATGGCTGTGAAAGGAACTGGTAGTTTCAGAGAAATACTTTTGATTGGTACAATATGTTTTTAGAAAAGCAAGTTATCATTTGGGAAATAGTTGCATTCATCTGCTGGTTTTGTGTTTGATTTTTGTTGTTGTCGACATTTTTTTATTTTAAAATAGTATATCTATGCCTGTTCTCAAAGAAAAATTCTCCCAAATTAGATGGACTTCATATTATCTTTGTTTTATGTTTTTATTATACTTTAGATGAAAGTTTACAGAGCAAATTAGTTTCTCATTAAACAACTAATACACATATTGTTTTGTGACATGGTTGCCAACCTGATTTTATGTTCGATTTTGTTTTACAGTGAAGCTTGCCTACAATTTTCACAAATCTGTATCCTTTCAAAGAAGAATCAGTTTATATATACTTTGCTGAGATTTCCTTTCTTTGGTTAATTCATGAAATTTAAAAAGTATTCAGATTTGTTTAGGAAATCATACATTCTCATTTATGGAAACTATTATTAAGTGTCCTTTGAGATAATACATTGTAGCAAATCAGAGCATAGAGGGTTTTTAAAATTGTGACTATCCGAAGAGTAATATGGAGGCGTTGGGGACGTTAGTAGCTGGCAAGAGACAGCTGGTAGCAAGATGGATATAGAAGAAAGTTGTAATATAGGAGAATGTAGTGGATGTTCTTCACTCATATGCTATATAAATAAATCATAAATCATTTTACATATCACACGTACTGTACATGTAATGATATGTAATTGAATTTATTTCTTAAACACATTAGCTGATTATATTGTCAAATTCGCAAAATTTGTTTTGCTTTATTACCAACAGCGTTTCATAAAATTACCTCCTTGTTTCATAAGAATTATTAGACTTAATTAAACGGTGCAGATCCTGTAGTATGTGTTCCATCCAGTTTCTTTATTGGAGACAGTGGAATTCCCTTGGAAGTAATAGCAGGAAGTGTTTCTGCAGATGAACTTGTTACCAGAATTCACAAAGTTCAACAGGTGAGAAGGAAAGGAACTCTTCTTTGCATAATCTTGGGAAAATATGTTAGGCATTTGACATTGAAATATTTTTGGAGCCTCTCTTTTATTTTCAGGAAACTGCTAGTGCCATGAAACTTTTGAGATAGTAAATTCTGTCTTACTGAACTGGTTTTGAAAACAGCATTTTGAAGTTAGAAGTACCTATACTTAATACTTGAGTGACTTATTTTCCCCTCTGTTTTCTCTCCCCCTCTCTCATCCACATAATGCACATCACCATTACTTTGTTGTAAGGGAGAATTGCTCTCACATTATGGTCCTAATAGTGTATTGCTTGACATATTCTAAGGACCTCATATTCAATAATTTCTCATTTGTATCCACTTGACTTCTTATGAAAAGAAGTGGATCTCAGTGGGCTAGTGGCTAATACGGCTTGTAACTTTTTTCTTTGAATTCTATTTTGATGGAAAATCAACAGTGTGCTTTAAGAATCTTTTTATGCTCTCACCTGCTTGCAGCTGAATTCCATATGTGATTGTCATGTTTAGGATTATACATTTTAGATTTATCTACATATAGAGAGAGTTTTAGTACTTCTCCCTACTATAGAGTATAAATTGGTTTAACTCATATTTTGGTTCAATATGCCATGGTAAGTTTAAATTCTTAACTGTTGTTTCCAATTTGTTTTCTCCCTAGATGCACTCACTAAAAGTCGAAACATCAGTTGCAAATGGGAGCCAGTCAGAAAGTTCAGTTTCTACTCCATGCACCTCATTTGAACCTAAAAACACTTCTGAAAACTGTCAGTCCAAAAATGCCAAGCTTTGTGAGACACCACCCAATTCTCCTGATGCAAAGTCAGATATTGCAACAGGTACTTTTTCTTTCCTTTTTTTTTTTTATTTTATTATGGTAAAATGGATATATAACAAAACATTTGCAGTCATTCATTTTGAGATTTTACGTCCTCAGATCAATAGTTTTTATGTATATAATTCATTGACATTAATTACATTCACTGTGTTGTGCAGCTGTTACCACTATCTGTTTCCAGATTTTTTCATCACCCTTAACAGAAATTCAGTGCCCCTTAAAGCAGTAACTCGGCTTTTTCCCCTCTCACCTATCCATGGTAACCATTAATAAACTTTGGTCTCTATGCATTTGTCTAGTCTACATAAAAGTGGGATCATACAATATTTGTCCTTCTGTGTCTGACTTACTTCATTCAGTGTGATGTTTTCGAAGTTCATCCATGTCAAAGCATGTATCAGAACTTCATTTATCTTTATGGCTGAATAATATTTCATTGTATGTATATACTGCATTTTGTTTATCCGTTCATCTGTTGATGGACATCTGGGTTGTTTCCACCCTTTGGCTTTTGTGAATAATGTTGCAGTGTACCCTTTTGGGTATAGTAGACGTACTCCTTCCCTTTATTTTAAAGTACAGGTCATCGATGAATATCTTTAAAAATAAGTTTATTGCATGGTATTTCCTCAGATTCATTTAACTTAAAGGTAAGGGTTATATACCCCAAAACAGCACAATATGCATTCTGCTCCAGTGCAGATGGATCATTCTCAAGGATAGATCACATTTTAAGTTACAAAGCAAGTCTTGATAAATTTAAAAAGATTGAAACATACAAAGTATTTTCTCTGACCATAGCAGAGTAAAGCTAGAAATCAATAACAGGAAAAAAACCTAGAAAATACACAGACATGAGGAAATTAAAACACACTATTAAATTACCAATGGGTCAAGGAAGAAATCACAAATTTTGTAGCATCAAATGAAGATGAAAGCACAGCATACCAAAACTTATGGGATACAACAAAGACAGTACTCAGAGGGAAACTTACAGCAGTAAATATCTACATAAAAAAAGAAGAAAGATCTCAAACAGCCTAACTCAACAACTCCAGGAACTAGAAAGAGAAGAGCAAACGAAGCCTAGACCTACCAGAAGAAAGGAAATAACAAAGATTAGAACAGAAATAAAAAACTGACAAACAACAGAGATAATAAAACCAGAAGTTGGTTCTTTGAAAAGATCACTAAAATTGACAAACCTTTAGCTAGACTGAAAAGAAGAGAAAAGATGCAAATAACCAAAATAAAAAATGAGAAGAGGAGACACTACGATGACTTGATAGAAATAAAGAGAAATATGACAGAATATTATGAACAACTGTATGGCAACAAACTGGAAAACCTAGATGAAATGGACAAATTCTTAGAAGCACACAGCCTACCCAGATTGATTCAAGAGGAAATATAAAGCCTCAGTAGGCACATAACAAGTGAAGACATTGATCGAAAACCTCCCAACCAAAAAAAGTCCTGGATCAGCTGGCTTTGCTCAGAAATTCTACCAAACATTTGGAGGAGCTAATACTATTTAAACTCTTCTAAAAGATAGAGAAGGAAGGAATACTTAGTAATTAATTATATGAAGCGAACGTAACCCTGACACCAAAACCAGGCAAAGACACCACAAGGAAAGAAAACTACAGGTCAATATCTCTTATGAATATAGATGCAAAAATACTCAACAAAATACTAGTGAACAGAATCCAACAGCATATTAAGAATCATACACCATGACCAAATGGGATTCATTCTAGGAATGCAGGGATGGTTCTAAACAACCTAATTGCCCATCAGCAGATGAATAGATATACAAAATGTGGTACATACATACAATGGAATACTACTGCTCAGCCAGTAGGAAAAATGAAGTCTTGATACATGCTACAACAGGGATAGAGCTGGAAGACATTGTGCTGAGTGAAATGAGCCAGTCACAAAAGGACAAATATTTATGACCTCACATAAAAAGACAAGAAAAGGCAAATGTATAGAGACCAAAGTTTATTAGTGGTTACCAGGGTTGGGAGGGAGAGGGGAAAAAGGGGGATTAACAGTGATGGAAAAATTGCATTGATTAAGGTAGGGTTGCGCAGCTGATATTGTAATTGCTGTCAATAAGTTGTACACTCATAAAAAGTTGAATTGACAAAAGTTGTGTGATATATTTACGACGACGACCAAAAAAAATTATAAAAAGAGTAGCTGCTGAGGCTACTTATGTATAACCAAATACCTCGTGGGATTTGGTTCCTTGGTTTGGAGGTTTAGGGTCATGGTTTCATGAGACATCCCAGTTAATTGGCCTAGTAACATGTTCAGTGCTTCTGTTCTACCTCCTAGTTCATTGTGTAGTGCCTGGGGTCTTACAAGCTTGCAAGCAGCCATCCAAGGCATAGTTGGCCTCTATTCATCTGGGGCAACAGAGGAATAAGGGGAGTCAGGAATAGGAGGAGGCTGTGGAATGTGTGGCAAATTGCCTTCATGAACAACTGCCTCCTTTGCCATAAGACCAGAAGAAATGGATGGTGCCTGGCTACTGTTACTGAACATTTTGATTCTGTAGAAGAATCCTGATCAAAATGGGGAAATGCAGAACAGAATTTCAAATTCTCATGGATTCTAGACTTTCCAGAGCTAGGGAGAGTGGATGAACCCCTGACTCTGTTGCCCTGATACAATCTTTAAACCTTGAACCAAAAATATCCCCTGAAGTCATCCTAAAACTGAACAATAGTTTATCTTAACTAGTAAGAAAGGACTGCCTTGAGTATTATGCTCTATTAAGAACTATCTGTATGGAATTAAATTTACAACAGCAGCTTGAAAGATTAGGTAGGAACCTTAGAGGGCAGTGAATATATGTTAATGGGGGAGGAACAACTCAGAAAAAGAGGGTGAGAATAGTTGCACAACTCAAAAAATATAATCAGTGTGACTAAATTGTACATGTAGAAACTGTTGAGCTGTGTATATTCTCAACAATAGCAACAAAATAAAATTTAGAGAAAAAAAGGTCAAGGGTTGTCTTGAATACATTTCTGTGTCATTTAGTGGCAGAAGAGGATAAATTCAAGGAATATACCCTTTAAGCCCAAGTAGTCAACAGTACAAAACAGTTGATCAGTAATTTCTGCTACTGTGCTTTGGTTCAGGGAATGTCATTATGACACCTAGAATTTTTATAAATCTATTCTTAACCTACCTCAGAAGATTTTGAAAGATTCAAATGAACCAGTGTATTTGGAATTGTTTTTACAAACTATGAAATGCTACACACGTTTAAGGGGCTAGTATTTGTATTATTTTAATTGAAATTAAAAGAGAATTGTAAAATAGAACTTACAGAAATAAGAAGTGTAACTGCAAAGGCAATGATTTTTTAAAAAAGGCCAAAAAAAGTTTTATAGTGTATATTGGGGATTGTGGCCAGAGATGTTTGGTTTAATACAGCCTTGTATTGAGCAGCATAGGGCCCGGAGTGGTACAGACGGTTTATGCTTGTCTACTAACCCAAAGGTTGATGGTTTGAACCCACCCAGTGGCGCTGCTGAAGAAAGGACTGGTGATCTGTTTTTGTAAAGATTATAGCCAAGAAAAGCCTGTGGAGCGGTTCTTCTCTGTAATACATGGAGTCTCCATGAGTTGTCATCGACTTGACAGCAATAGGTTTAGTTTTTGTTCATTAAGCAACACTCGATTAGGTAAATCTAAAGTTAGAATATCAGTATCCTGAAGGATGATTCCACTCCCGCATCTCTGACAGTCATCAAGCCTCTGCTTGAGTGCATTTAATGAAGGGAAGCTCATTACCTTTCTTGGAAGCCAGTTCTATTGTTGAACAGCTCTAGTTTTTAGAAAAATTCTTCTTTTTATTGATTTGAAATTTGGTGCCCTATAACTTCCCATTAACTTTAAGTTAATGCTGCTTTCTGGATTTACACATGACATGTCTTTGAATATTTAAAGAACAGCTAGCAGATTCCCTCTCAGTAGTGTCATTTTGAGATTTTACGTCTTCAGATCATTCAAGTTCTGGATGCATACAGAACTAGGGAACTATATTATGGATATAGTCCATTTAGGACTACAAAAGAATAATTATCCTTTACATTAATCTAGATGTTTGTCATTTTCCAAAATTCCTCATTCCTTCCTGAAAATATGTATCATTGCCCTTCAGTTTGAAAATTTTCCTTTAGCATTTCTCATTGTGCAGTTCTGTTGGCAAAGAATTTTCTTAGTTTACTTTTATCTGAAAATGTCTTTGTTCCATGTTTATTCTGGAAGGGTATTTTGCTTGATGTAAAATTTGGGATTGACAGTTTTTTCTTTCAGTACTTTAAAGATGTTATTCCACTGTTTTCTGGTCTCCATAATTTTCTGATTAGAAGTCCATGGTCATCCAGTTTTTTTCCCCTCGTATGGAATGTGGTTTTTTGTTGTTTTTTTTGTTTTTTTTTGGGGGGGGGAAAGGGGGCTGCTTTTCGGATTTTTTTCGTTCTCTGGTTTTCAACACTTTGACTATAATATGCTTAGGTTCTGCAGTTTTATTGGGGCTTGTCTTAGTTACCTAGTGCTGCTATAACAGAAATACCAAAAGCTGAAGGCTTTAACAAACATAAATTTATTCTCTTACAGTTTAGGAGGCTAGAAGTCCAAATTCAGGGCCACAGCTCTATAGGAAGGCTTTCTCTGTCTGTTGGCTTTGAGGGAAGGTCTTTATCTCCTTTCAACATCTGTGGGCCTGGCGTTCCTTGGAGATCTACATGTGTCTTGGCGTTAGTCTTCCCCTGGGTCTAGGAGGTTTTCAACACCAGGATCCCAGATACAAAGGACATGCTCCTCTCCTGGCTTTTCTTTCTTGGTGGTAGCAGTTCCCTCACTTTCCGCTCACTTATCTCTGCTTTTATCTCTTGTAAGATAAAAGGTAATGTAGGCCACACCCCAGGGAAACTCCCCTTACATCAGATCAGGGCTGTGACCTGAGTAAGGGTGTTATACCCCACCCTAATCCTCACTGACAAGACCTAATCCTGCCTCATTAAAGTAACAGACAGCTCACTCCCAAATGGGACCATAACCACAGCCATAAAGGCTAGTAGCATTTACAACCCATCACAAAATGAGGATAATCAAATCATAAAATGGAACAACCAAGCAATACTGGGAATCATGACCTAGGCAAGTTGACACATATTTTTGGGGGACACAATTACAGTCCATGGCAGGGCTCAAAGTGACATATTTCTTAGATTCTTAACTTTTTTCTCTTTCTAAAAATTGGGAAATATCTGCCTATTGTTACTCATAATTTCTCAGAGACTTCTGTCTTAGTTATCTAGTGCTGCTATAACAGAATTATCTCAAGTGGATGGCTTTAACAACAGAAATTTATCTTCTCAGTTTAGGAGGTTAGAACTCTGAATTTAGGGTGCTGACTCTTGGGGAAGGCTTTCTGTCTTTGTTGGCCCTGCAGGAAGGTGCTTGTCTCTTCAGCTTTTGCTTCCTGGTTTCTTGGAGATTTCCATGTAGATTGGCATCTGTCTTCCCCCATTTCTACTTGCTTAATCTGCTGCTTTTATATTTTGTAAGAGGTTGACTCAGGACACACCCTACACACTAATCCTGCCTTGTTAACATAACAAAGACAGTTTATTCTCAAATGGGATTATAATCACAGGCATAGAGGTTAGGATTTACAACACATATTTTGTGGGGACACAGTTCAGTCCATAACAACTTTCAACCATGATTCTATGATTTTCTAGTTTTTTCATGATACACTACTTTGGGAACTTAGAAGTTTACCATAAATAGATTTAGAGCCTTTGCTTTAGGCTACTAGATGCTCTTGCTATTTACCTACCTATTTGGGGCTTAAATAGTGTCTTAATTATGTATGTTCTGCTCTTTTAAGCTTAAAAGTCATTGAAGAAGGTAGAAGCCAAATAGATACGAAATAATTCTGTCACCTTGAATTATATCATTTTTCTAAGAAGTTGGCCTGCTCATACTTTGTTCATCATCTTATATCAGACTTAATGAACAAAACTCTTTTTGGTTGTTCTTTTTTATTTTTTCCCCACACCCATTCATTCTGTTTTTTGACGTTGTTCTAAACATTTTCACAGTTCTAAAAATATTTTTTAAAGATGTATCTAAAATTCCTTAAACATAAAAGGAGATACTAAGAATAGCAAAGTTATAAGAAATACTTAGTAATAATAATTATTTCTACTACTACTATAATAACTAAAGCACTTATTATGTGTCAGTTTCAGTAAAGTTCTAAGTACTTGTATTAACTCATGTAATTCTTACAATGACTCTATGAGGTGGTTGTTGTTAGGTGCCGTCGAGTCGGTTCCAACTCATAGCGACCTTATGTACAACAAAACGAAACACTGCCCAGTCCTGCGCCATCCTCACGATCGTTGTTATGCTTGAGCCCATTGTTGCAGCCACTGTGTCAGTCCATCTCTTTGAGGGTCTTCCTCTTTTGCGCTGACCCTCTACTTTACCAAGCATGATGTCCTTCTCCGTGGACTGATCCTGCCTGATAACATGTCCAAAGTATCTGAGATGTAGTCTTGCCATCCTTGCTTCTAAGGAGCATTCTGGCTATACTTCTTCCAAGACAGATTTGTTCATTTTTTTGGCAGTTCCTAGCATATTCAATATTCCATAAGTTTACTACTCTCATTTTACAGATGAGGAACAGAAAGGTTAAGTAACTTACTAAATTGACAGAACTTTGACTTGGACTCAGGCTTTGTGGTTTCACAGTCCTTGCTCTTTAAAAGATCATAAATGTAAAGAAGAATCAAGTTGTTGGTGAGTGGGAAGGGAGGAAAAGACAAACAGAGGTACCAGGCATACATTAAGAAAGTATCAGGCCCTTGCTGTCCACTAGAACAGGCCAGGACAAATTTCAGTCCTTAAAAAAATCCTTAAAGGAATACTGGTATAAAAACAAAGAGCATCTCTAAGGAATTTTCTGCTTGGCATAAGCAGATTCCTTGGGACCATTATAGAGCTATAACCAAGATCAAACTTGACCTCTAGATCTACATGTTCAATATCATAAATCATAAATACATGTGGCTATTTAAAGTTAATTGAAAATAAATAGAATTAATTCAGTCCTTTAACTGCATTAGCCCCATTTCAAGTGCTTAGTAGCCACATGTCTCCAGTATTTTGGACAGCATAGATATTGGACAGCACTGCTCTTGAGTGAAGACAGTCCATGCATGGCCAGGTGTACTTATTCTGCTTTTGCTATACCCCCTCCTGCCAGGTTATTTGATATTTTTTCATGTTTTACCTCTGACCTTTGCCTTGGTGGCCCTTATGAGTGCCTTATTTGCCATGTATACACCATTTTATCCAGATCCAGACTTTAGGATTAGTAGTAGCTGATTTCTTATCTCTACTTTTATTTTTACGGAAAATATGTAATGTTTAAGAAACAAGATTATTAACAAATGTTGAAACTGAAAAGATTCATACCTTCTAATAGTTAGCATTAAAAACAGTATTCTTTTTTCTTTTTATTTAATAATTAAGGAGGAGAAAGTTCAGGCCATGCCACTCCCTCTCAGGATCCTAGTGAGTGTTCAAATCCAAGACCTGCAGAAGACCTCACCGTCAGAGTGGAAAGGTTTGCTTTTTTTTTTTGTAATGTAGTATTTTGTTAAAAAGATGTTTTCAGTTATTTCATTAATTTGAATGAAAGCCACAGTTACACAGATGAAGTTTCATAATTTTGTGTTGTAATATTTGATTACTTGACCAGCTTATTTTTAACTGTAAAGATTACAGGAGCCCTGGTGGTGCAGTGGTTAAGAGCTCAGCTGCTAAACAAAAGTTCGGCAGTTCAAATCCACCAGGCACTCCTTGGAAACCCTATGGGGCGGTTCTGCTCTGTCCTTTAGGGTCGCTATGAATCAGAATCGACTCGACGGCAACAGGTTTTGGTTTATAAAGATTACATTCTGGCAGTAAAGCTTTTTTGTATCTCTGAAGTCATCAGTAAGCTTATACGTCTGGTCATTCTGCGAACCTCCCTTTTACTGTTATGTGTGTTTCCATCTGTCACTTCTGCTTATAATCTGTCCATAAACCAAAGCCAAACCTATTGTTATCGAGTTGATTCCGACTCATAGCCACCCTATAGGACAGGGTAGAACTACCCCATAGGGTTTCCAAGGAGTGGTTGGTGGATCCAAACTGCTCACATTTTGGTTAGCAGCCGTAGCTCTTAACCACTGTGCCACCAGGGCTCCAGTAATCTGTCCATACCATAGTATAAAAAGCTCCTGATGGGCAAGGGCTTCAGCTAATTTTATGACTGTGTACTGAGCCTGGTTTCTGCATAAGTAGGTGTCTACTGAATCTCATTTTTTGTTGGTTGGTCTAATAATGAATGCAAATTTCTGACTTTTTGTTTCTAGTTTTGTATTTTTAATGATACAGTAATTATCAAATCATAGTCTTTTCGCTATGATTCTTAAAAGTTATATGAGCTGTGAATAATCAGTGAGTTATCAGGAGTATTTTTTAATGCTGACTTAAACCACTTAGCATCATATGGAAGTTTTAAAAATTTCTCAGGGAGACTTGATACTTTCTTGTTCACACAGATACTATGAGCAAACAAAGTTCAGAATGATTGCTGACATTGGTTCTTTGGGTTCGCCTATGACTCAAGATCAGTTTCCTTTCAGCAAAGCCTTGATTCTGATTGTTCTGTACATTCTTTACAGGAATTGGGGCAGAGCCAAGACTTTGAGGTGAAAAACAGGATAGATCCTCTCACAGCGGTGAGGAAACGGTATAAGACTAGAACAGCAGCAGGGAACCAAGGTTCTCAGGGGCCCATCCTCTTTTGTTTCATTCTGTTTTGCTCGTACCAGGCCTGTCACTGTGTGTTCTTACTTGTACCACTCTTGGATGAAATGAAAACCAGAATTCTGGGAAAGAGTTCAGAGACTTGGAAAGGAAGGAAGAAATACGTCAGGCAGCAGCTTTATAGGGTGGGTTGGAATCAGGCACTGTTTGTATTTAGGGCAGTAGGAAAGAGGAGTTTCTGTGGCTGTTGTTTCTTAAATAGCTTCCATTCCTATGTAAGAGAATGTCAGTTGGTGTCTGCCTGTATGGTTCTGCAAATAGAATATAATATACCATTTTTAATTAATAGTTTTTATAAACATACGTACTGGTGTGTATGTGTTATATGTAGTATCAATCAATTAAAGACTTTATGACATACACCAAAATGTTTATACTAATATCTATGAAAGAGGAATTACGGATTTTTTTCCCTTGTTCTGAGGTTACCATATTGTCTTCTTTGAGCATTATTACTTTTATAATTAGCGTTTATTGAGTACTATTACTTTTATAAGGAGCCTTGGTGGTACAACAGTTAAGTGCTCGGCTGCTACCGAAATTTGGGCAATTTGAACCTATGCAGTGGCTCCTTGGGAGAAAGACCTGGTGATCTGCTCCTGTAAACATTACAGCCTAGAAAATCCTATGGGGGCCACTCTGCTCTGTCACATAAGGTCACTGTGAGTCAAAATCAACTCAAGGCACCTAACAACAACCACAATGTACTTTCATAATTAGCATATCAGAACTGGTTGGGTCTGCACCTAAGGTTCCTTCAGCTAAAAAAAAAAAGAAGTTGAAGCTCTCAGAGATACATACATACATACATACATAAACATACATAGAAACAAATACATACGTATTTTTTTTAACGAGTATGCTGTTAGGACCATGGCATGAACTATATGTGGGTTGGGTGCTTTAAAAAGGATACTAATATCCCTGAGACTATGGCCCTAAGACACCCTTCTGAACTGGAAATGAAGCCATTCCCAGAGATCACCTTTCAGCCAAACCATAGACAGGCCCATAAAATAATAACAGCTGAGAGGACGGGCTCCTTAGAACAATCAATTATACAAGATCAAAAGGGCAACATTTGCCCAAAAGCAAAGATGATAAGGCAGGAAGGGGTAGAAAATCAGGACAAAAGGAAACGGAACCCAGGGTGGAAATGAGGAGAGTGCTGACACATTGTGGGGATGAAACCAGTGTCATGGAACACTTTATATACAAACTGTCGAATGGGAAACTGATTGCTTTGTAAACTTCCACCTAATGAACAATAAAAATTTAAAAAAAGAAAAAGGATACTAATATCGAAGTTGGATGAAGTGTTAATTAACTCTCTTTGTTGTTATTGATAAACTCTTGATAATGAAACTTTTTATTGGGAACTAACTTTTCATTCTTAGATAATCTTTGAAAAACCCTGGTCATTTAATTAAAATCTTAGACCGCATTTCAAATTCTTATTGCTGAGACAAATTTATCAGACTTAGTTGAGCTATAAAGCCTAGGTTCTAACACTGATTCACAAGCTGTTGTCCTGTATTTTGTTTATATGAGTTCATACCCAATTAGGAATTCTGTTTCTTTTGTGCAGTTTGATTCATTGACACTTGTAAATAATTAATAACACCAACCTATGTAATCTTCCTATCCTGAATGTCCTCTTAGCTCATCATTTATAATCCTTAGGGTTGCCTTCATTTTCACCGTACCCTGCTGTAGATTCTGTGATGCTCTTATACCACTGACTGACGTATTCCCTGGCATCATCCGAGGGTTTATTGGACTCTGAAACCCTAAAGTTCTGCCACTTTTCCTGTCTCACAGAACTAAACTGCTTTGCTTTTTCTCAGCCCAGATAAATTGGGCCAATAAGTCCCTGTGGTATACTTGAGTATTTATAGAACTTTGTAATATCAAGCTCTGCAAAGAAAAAATTGCTGGATTTTTATCTAACTTTGATAGTATTTTAAAATACGTTTTATACAGATTAAAAACTCAGTCTTAAAACTTGGTGGGATGGATTAGTAAATGTAAGATCTTAACTTTTCTCTTAGGCTATGAGATTTATTTCCAGAGACTAAATTTTTGGAAAATTAATTACTCAACATTAGATCTGAGGCTTTTTTCTCATCTAACTTCAAGGAGAACTAATTTTGTTAGGGGAAAAGGTGAGCTACTCAAATTGATACCAGCTCAAATTTATCCTTCCTTGTACATAATAAGAACATAGTCTTTCAGCCTTGAGCTGCCTTTTGTCAAGGAAGTAAACTTAATTTTTAACTGTCAGATCGGTGCTCTGTAATTGTTAGATCTAAATTTTTGTTTTTAATACTAATTAAAGTATATGAAACTTTTTATTCTTTAAAGGACAAGGAAATAAAAATATTTTAGTGATTCATGTGAATACATAAATCTTTTAGTCAAAATATTTTGTTTATATTTTGTAATTTATTATTTTCATTATATTTAAAAATGGACAGAATTCTTTGGGAAGGATAATATATAGTACCGTTAATTCCTCTTCCCAGCCTTTTAATTTGAAAAGTTTTAAACCTAAAAAAGTTGAAAGAATAATATAATGAAGAAAAAATCGTTTTTTTGACTGAATCATATGAAACTTACAGACATCATTTCAGATCATCCCTAAACACCTCAGCATGTATCTCCTAAGAATAAAGACATTTTCAGATACTAATATAATACCAGGAGCACTGGTGGCACAGTGGTTTTAAGCATTCAGCTGCTAACCCAAAGGTCAGTGGTTTGAACCCACCAGCTGCTCTGTGGAAGAAAAAGACCTGGCGATCTGCTCCCTTAAAGATTTCAGCCTAGAAAACCCTATGGGATTGTTCTACTCTGTTCTACAAATGTAATATGAGTTGGAATCAACTCAACAGTAAGCAACAACAGTACAATACCATTGTCACACTGAAGAGATTGTAAATTAATACAGTAAGATTATCTGATATACTGTCTATATTTAGATTTCCCCATTGTCCCAATAATTCCTTGATAACCCCACCACCCCTGCATGTAGAGAAGAGCATTGATTTGCCTCCCCTCACCCTTAATCACTTTTTTTTTAAGTAAACTTTTAAAGATACCAGCACCCAGATCAAGAAATAGAAAATTACCAGTGTCCCAGAAGCCTTCCTAATTAATGCCCCTCCTCAATTACTACTTCCTTCTCAAGGATAACCACTGTCTTGAATCCAACACCACAGATTAGTTTTGCCTGTTTTTGAGTTTTATAATGGAATCGTACCACGTTATTCTTTTTATATTTGATCTCTTGCTCACTATTATGTTTGGGTGATATGGATTACACTTCAACATAAAGAAAACAAAAATCCTCACAACTGGACCGATAAGCAACATCATGATAAACAGAGAAAAGATTGAAGTTGTCATGGACTTCATTTTACTTGGATCCACAGTCAACACCCATGGAAGCAGCACTCAAGAAATCAGACAGTTCTCATTGGGCAAATCTGCTGCAGAAGACCTCTTTAAAGTGTAAAAAGCAAAGATGTCACCTTGAAGACTAAGGTGCGCCTGACCCAGGCCATGGTGTTTTCAGTCGCCTCACGTGCGTAGGAAAGCTGGACAATGAATAAGGAAGACAGAAGAGGAATTGATGCCTTTGAATTATTGTGTTGGCAAAGAGGATTGAATATACCATGGCCTGTCGAAAGAACGAACAAATCTGTCTTGGAAGAAGTACAATCAGAATGCTTCTTAGAAGGAAGGATGGCAAGACTATATCTCATATACTTTGGACATGTTGTCAGGAGGGATCAGTCCCTGGAGAAGGATATCATGCTTTGTAAAGTACCGGGTCAGTGAAAAAGAGGAAGACCCTCAACGAGATGGACTGACACAGTGGCTACAACAATGGGCTAAAGCATAACAGTTGTGAGGATGGCACAGGACCAGGCAGTGTTTCATTCTGTTGTACGTATAGTTGCTATGGGTCAGAACTGACTTGACGGCACCTAACAACAGCATGTTTGTGTGGCTCATCTGTGTTGCTCATGTGTCAATAGTTGGTGCACTCTTGTTGCTGTATAGTAGTCCGTTGTGTAGCTATACTACATTTTATTTATCCATTCTACTGTTAATGGATATTAGGACTATCTTTAGTTTTGGGCTGTTATGAATAGGGTTGCTGTGAACATTCTTGTGCATGTCCTGGTGAACATATGTACACATTTCTTTTGGGCATATATCTGGTAGTGGGAATTTCTGGGTCATAGATACTGGCTAGTCTTCATAGTGGTTGTACCAACTGATAAACTCCCCTCAGCAGTAGATCCTTTTTTTCCTTCTAATGTGTTATAATCTTTAACTCTTATTACTTTTTGGTGTGCACTTTGCCCCAGATTTGGTTAGTGGAATCCCCTTCATGCTAGCTTTTCTGCCCTTGTGAGCACTTCCTTGATTTCTGGCACAAGTTGTTCAGCTGAGTTTTAACACATGCATATACCTGTGTAACCCAAGTCCGTATCAGAGAGTACCATTTTTTTAAATTGAGATATAATTCACATAACAAAATCATCCTTTGAAAGTGTACAATTCAGTGTGTTTTAGAATATTCACAGGGTTTTGCAACCATCACTACTGTCTAATTGCAGAACCATTAAGTTTTTGGTTAATTTTTGTTTTAGCTAAAAATTACGCACACATTTTGCATGCTATTCACTTTAGAACTATTAGTTTTTAATTGATGAACTTCTTACATTTGGAAATCAGAACAGTATATTTTGGTACTATTAGTAAACCCAATGCTGTCAAGTCCATTCCGACTCATAGCGACCCTATAGGACAGAGCAGAACTGGCCCATAGGGTTTCCAAGGAGCACCTGGTGGATTCAAGCTGCTGACCTTTTGGTTAGCAGCTATAGCTCCTAACCCCTATGCCACCAGCGTTTCTGGTATTACTGCTAGCTTGTATAAATGCCGTTAAGTTTTGCTTTTATTTTTAACAGTTTGTGCCATGTTGGTGTTTAGGGGTAAAACATTTGTAAGTTATTGATTTACATATTGTTTGAAAACCTATTTGTATACTTCAAAGTCAGAATCAGAAAAATCAGACCAAAAAGAAAACTAAAGGTAAGTAGAGATAAGATACTTAGGATAGGCTCCCATTGGTTCATAGATTTGTCTAGGTACCAGGAACCTGGTAGATAAATTGTTGCTGTGCTTCCAGGGCCTTTTCTTATTAGTGTCTGTGCTTCCCCAGCTGTTTTTAGCTAAATAAATCTCCTAAATGTGTTTGATGTTAATATGTGTGTCTCAGTTAATGTCTTTTTTTAAAACACAGACTAACCAAAAAACTTGAAGAAAGGAGAGAAGAAAAGAGGAAAGAGGAAGAGCAGGTAAAATCCATATACCTAGCATTGTTTTACCTGTCCGTTCAGTGAAGAGTAGATCTAGGATGGCTCCCTAGTTATGCTTCAGTGTTATAGCATTGTGAAGGGAATTAGCTGTCTTTTTTAGTATCTTCCTATGATACACTTTTTGTGTTCTTTTTTTAAATAGCTAGAAATAAATTGGATCATCTTCTCTCCCTCTACAACGAGCCTTTTCCACTGAGAATATAGGGACTTGAATTCAGATTATTTGGTTTCAGACAGAAGATTGAATTTTAAGTTCCTTTTTGTGAAAAGAAATGTGTAGACATTTTGCTGAATTTTCCTTCTCCTGTGCTTGTATTTTAGCGCACCATTTATTTTTCTAACCATGTATGTCTAAACTGCATCATTACTTTGATTGTTAATATAGGAAGGTTATCATTTCTTCAAGCCAAATAAATGACTGCCTTGTTGCCCTTGGAGGTATCATACTCATCTTAGAAATCAGAGACCTGTAATTCTCTTGCTTTCAACTTACACTGACTGCATCATAATTTTAACACAACCATTGGCAAAGGTTTATTAATTGGTAGGCATTCGACCATTAACTGTGCTGTTAATAAACTCTAATAGATCCTTACATTTTAACAAGTTTTGTTCCTTTAGGTGTACCCTATAATCAGCTTGCTCTACATTTAAAATAATATCTGGGACAGACTATCAAATTATCTTAAAACTTATTTTCTCTTTAATTTAGAGAGAGATTAAGAAGGAAATTGAGAGAAGAAAAACTGGAAAAGAAATGTTGGATTATCGAAGAAAGCAAGAAGAAGAATTAACGAAAAGAATGTTAGAGGAAAGAAACAGAGAAAAAGCAGAAGATAGGGCAGCTCGAGAGCGTATAAAACAGCAGATTGCATTGGTGAGTATTAATTTTAAAGTTTCAATGCTTGACTCCAGGACATTTGTAAAATTATTTTTCTGTGCACATTGACTTTGGTTTATTATAAGACACTGCATGCAAAAATAGTGAGGTGACTCCAAGAGTAACCAATTCTCAGCTTCCTTTTATTAGAGTTTTTTGAATTAAGATACAGTTAAGGTTGCCTCTTTAGATGATTTTTTCAAAGTGATTTTTCTCCATGTTTTCTTATATTATGAATTTTATCAAGAAAGTCAAAAGGCAGCTTTCAGGGACTCTCTGGAAAACAAGCTAAGAATTGGTTACCTAGTAATCTTTAGTTACAAGCATTCTTTTTTCTTGAGACAAAGGGTTTGGACACATCATAGATGCTTAGGATGGTTTTGCAATAATTGCTTTTAGAATTCAGCAGTATGATACATATGAAAACCATGCCTACCTTAATAGTGTTTGTTCATTTGTTTGTCAGGTATTTATTGAGCATCTACTACATGCCAGACCTTGTTCCAGGGTCTGGATATATACTAGTGAGCAAAATGAAGTCCTTGTTTATTCAGTAATAACTTCAGGTCCCTGATAGTTGATAAAACTAAAAATTACCAGATCCAGAATGATGCACCATATTTTTACACAAATAACGCACGTGTTATACGGTTTTTGTCAACCACACAGCACCTTCGAGCATTATTTTCCTAGGCACGCTATGCACGTTGTGTGTGTAAACATGAAAAATGCAGTAGTTCACGTATGGCTTTAAGGAATTTCGTGCATATTTGTGTTTCTCATTAACTTGGGTTTGGAAATGTGTGAATGGATCATTCTGGCTGTGAAAGATAATTGGTGTCTAACGATTGTTTTAAAGGACCGTGCAGAGAGAGCTGCTCGTTTTGCAAAGACAAAGGAAGAAGTAGAAGCTGCCAAAGCAGCTGCCTTGCTGGCCAAACAGGCAGAAATGGAAGTCAAGAGGGAATCTTATGCAAGAGAAAGAAGGTACTTTATTTCATGCTGAAACATCTGTGTGTTAGTGTGGGCTGAGGAGAACAATAGTTGTGGGCTGGTTTTTAACACTGATGCATGCTGTGGTTGTAATAAGTAGTCAATTCCAGAAGGACATATTGACCAGTTTGGGAGCTGCCAGTGGTATTTGTCATTGAATGTGAATATATAATATAACAGTACTAAATATATAACTTTTAAAAGAGGACCTAAAAAAGGTCATTTTCAAGAGACAGAAACCACAAGCATCAAATGATTATGTTGATTATCTCGTGTGTACTAGGATTCTTTAGTTGTGTCAGAATCCCAAATTAAATAGGATTAAGCAAAAGAGGGAATAGGTTGGCTCTGCTGTTGGGAAATCCAGCAGTAGATTTGATTAGGCATAGCTGGATCCATTGGTCTAAAGGATGTCATTAGGACTTTTTCTTCTCTGTCTCTTCTTTTTTTCTGGCCTCTTAGCTTTTTTTGTTTTAACTTTGTTCTCTGGAAAATTCTCCAAATGATGTCAGGACAGCCCAGTATTTTCTGGTACCTTCAGGATCTTGAGCTTATAATCCCAGAGAGAAAAGATTAATCCTGTATCTCTCAAAACCCATAGCAGTGTCTAAGGAGAATTGTGAGTCGTGTGGCCACCTCCAGCCCAATCACTGTGTTTTCACTTGTATAGGCTCTTTGGTTTGGGTGGGTAACATGCCACCCCTGTGATGAAGGAGGTGAGTGAAATGCGGCTGATAATCACATCGGAATGAATGACATGAAGTAGCGGAGAGGCAGTTCCCAAAACAAAAATATGTTGAGAAGACAAAAAAGAAAAAAATTCAGATTCCCAGTACATCCTGTTAGTTAGACTATGTTAATATTTCTTTTCTGTATTTTCCATATTGGACAGTTAATAAACATTATGCTTATAAATCAGAAAAATAACTTTTTAAAAACTATTTTCCAAAGAGAGTGAAATATTTAGGAATAAATTTAACAAAAGAGTGTAAGGCTTATATATTAAAAACTATAAAATATTGTTGAAAGAAATTAAAATTACCTAAATAAATGAAAGGAAATCTCATGTTCATAGATCAGAAGACATAATATTGTTAAGATAGGAATATTCCCTAAATTCTGTTCTACAGATTCAGTTCAATCCATATCAAAATCTCAGCTGGCTTTTTTGCAGAAGTTGACAGTCTGATTCTAAAATTTATATGGAGGTGTAAGGGACCCAGAATAACAAGAACAATTTTGAAAAATGAAGAACAAAGTTGGAGGACTCACAGTTTCCGGTTTCAAAACGTACTGCAAAGCTACAGTAACCAAGACAGTGTGGAAGTGGCATAAGGATAGACATAGATGAATGGAATAAAATTGTGTGTCCAGAAATAAACCCTTAAATTTATAGTCAATTGATTTTTGACAGAGGTAGTAAAAATTCAATGGAGAAAGAATCATTTTTTCAACAAATGGTGCTCAGACAGCTGGATATACATAAGCAAAAGAATGAATTTGGACCCTTTACCTCATACCATATAAAAAATTGACTGAGAATGGTTCAGAGACCTAAATAGAAGAGTTAAATATGTAAAACTCTTAGGAAAAAACACAGGAAGAAATGTTTGTGATCTTGGAGTAGACAGTGGTTTCTAAGGTATGACACCAAAAGCACAAAGTAACAATAGAAAAAAACAGATAAATTGGGCTTCATCAAAATTAAAAACTTTTGTGCTTCAAAGGACACCATCAAGAAAGTGAAAATACAGCCCACAGAATGTGAGAAAATATTTGCAAATCATGTATCTGGTAAGGGACTTGTATCTAGAATAGGTAAAGAACTCATAACTCAACAATAAAAAGACAAAAAGCCCTATTTAAATATAGGTGAAGGCTATGAATAGACATTTCTCCATAGAAGATGTACAAATGACCAACAAGCACATGAAAAGTTGCTCAGCATCATTAGTCATTAGAGAAATGCGTATTAAAACCACATGTAATACCACTTCACACCCACTATGATAACTAAAAAATCATAATCACAAGTGTTGGCAAGGATGTGGAGAAATTAGAACCTTCATACATTGCTGGTGGGATTATAAAATGGTCCAGGTACTTTGAAAAACAATTTGACAGTTTCTTAAAATGTTAAACATAGAGTTACCATATGACCCAGCAATTCCACTCTCAGGTACATGTACAGTAGAATTGAGAAAACATCCTCACAAAAACGGGTTCATGAATGTTCATAGCAGCATTATTCATTTAATAGCCAATAAGTGGTAACAACCCAAATGTCCGTCTGTTGATGAATGGATAAACAAAAAGTGGTATGTTCCACACGATGGAATAACATTTGGCATTAAAAGGAAATGAGGTATCAATACATGCTGTAACAGATGAACCTTGAAAACACTATGCTGAGTGAAAGCCCAATTACAAAAGGCCACATATTATATGATACCAATTGTCTGAAAAGTTGACAATAGATAAATAGATAGAGATTGAAAGTAGACTAGTGGTTGCCGGTGGCTGGGAGAGAGGAATGATGGGGAGTGACTGCTGATGGGTATTTTTTGAGTGGTGAAAATGTTCTAGGATTAGGTAGTAGTGATGGTTGCTCAACTCTGAATATACTAAAAACCACTCAGTTGTATATTTTAAAAGGGTGAATTTTATGTTACGTGAATTATATCTCAATAAAGCTGTTATTAAAAAATAACAGAAGATCTGACATAGGGAGAAAAACTAGTGCATATTTCTATTTCCATTTTCCTCCAGCCTTTAATGATATTCTTTGAGAATATATAGAGGTACAGATACTAACTTTAACTTTCTTTTTTCATAGTACTATTGCTAGAATTCAATTCCGTCTTCCTGATGGTTCTTCCTTCACAAATCAGTTCCCTTCTGATGCTCCTCTAGAGGAAGCAAGACAGTTTGCTGCACAGGTAAATTTATGCTTGAGTTATAGTAAAGATAGATACATAGCTTATTAAGATGTAGGAAGGGAACATTTCAAAACAGAGCTTGAAGAATGTGAATAAATCATGACTTTATCACCAGGAGGGAAGCAGAAGATACCTCTGAGGTATTGTGGCGCTTACATCATGTATTAGTGCCATATGGGCACAACACATCTGCTTGTTGTGCAGAAATGGAAATTTCCAGTAGGCTCTGGAAACATTTCTCACTGATTAGTTCACTCACCTGGAGACCTGAAAAGCAAGTGGTTTCCCAAAGGTCTAATGTGAAGTTATCCCACTCCTCCCTCAAAAACCAAATCCATTGATTCAGAGCGACTCTATAGGACAGAGTAAAATTGTCCCATAGGGTTCCAAGGCTGTAGTCTTTATGGAAGCAGACTGCCACATCTATCACTTGCGGAACCGCCGGTGGGTTCGAACCATCAACCTTTTGGTTAGTAGCCAAGCTCTTAACCACTGCGCGCCACCAGGGCTACTTCCACTCTTCCCTAAAAGGATGCAATTCTTCTTGGTCCTCTCCACGTTTTCTGTAGATTGCTTAGAATGCTTTGAGGCTGGGCATTTTCCCACCCGTTGTCTGATCATTAATTTGGCATTAAGTATTTCCTTCAGGAATTTACTTCTAAAAGGCGCCCTTACTCAAAATCTGAATGGGATGTGAAATTTCGTATCTTAGAAAATAAGATATAACAGTACTTTCCAATTAGTTTTTATTCTCTGATTGATTCCTTAATGAAAATGGATTCTGGGCATCAGGTGTCCTTTAGGATCTGGGGTCGTTATATGTACCAGTATTTTCCATATATATGTGTAAATATATATGTGTGTATATATAGAGATCTTCAACATTGAAATTAGGGAGTTGGGTGCTGGGTTCAGATCTTTCCACCAGAGCACTTCTCACCTTTAGTCTGCTACTTATGGTTCCTAAGAGAAGGATGCCTGAAAAGCTATCTGCTTTTCTACACTGATGAGCTGGGATGGACAGTGTAAATACTTACTTTAAGAACCCTTTTCCCCTAAGCTGTATAGTAGAACCAGCTCTAAATAGCCTATTTCATTCTTTTTTTTTTTTGTCTTGTGTCCCCACCTGGGACTTTGCAAGAGGGGGTACCTCTGTCCTGTGTCCTTTGGTAAGTGAAGAGGGAGCGACACAGGAGAAAAGAAATCTTTGCATCACTCTTATTAAAACTTCACCTCAGAACAGTGGCCTAATTCTGTATTTTAGGGTGTCTTTATGTTAGAGTGAGAACAATGAGGAGTATATATGTGAACAACAGTAAAAATCACAAGAAACAAGTGTTAGTGAGCCTCTTTCTTTGGAATCTTGTAGAGAAAGAGTGAACAGTTGTCTTTCTAAGATTTTACAAGTATCAGTAACTCAGAATTGTGAAGGTGATGGTAATGCCTGCCCAGCGTAGGTTCCTGGAACTGGGATTATGTGTGTGGTGTAGATTGACTACAGACCATTTATGCCTTGAGATGAGGAGGCTAAAACTCCTGAAGATATATATATATATGATACACATATGAAGGAAATACTGGTTTATTACAGATCTTTAATAAAGATAATCCAAATGTTTACTAGTATATTTGCCAAAAGGTAGTGAAAGCCCTACTGACTGAACTACAGCCATACTCTCAAGATTTACATTATTGCTCATATTTTATTCAGTTTGTTCAGTTTTAGGAAGTATGTTCTTGTTACTTTTACTTTGTGATCATTTTTGAGTTATAGATACTTTTAGAAAAGTATTTGGATTTGATAGCTTTTCAGCTGCATTTTGAAGCACAGGGTTTTTTTGGTTGAGTTTACGTTCCTATGAACTTTTTAAATTAAGGCAATTTTAATTAAAGCAGTCATTTTGGATGCATGTGAGTAATGTAACATCTTATTTTTAAAAGGTTTTAAATTGTAAAATTTAAAGCATTGTAAGGTTTGTAAAATTTTTTGTTATATTACAGACTGTTGGCAACACTTACGGTAATTTTTCATTAGCAACCATGTTTCCCAGGAGGGAATTTACCAAAGAAGATTATAAAAAGAAATTATTGGATTTGGAACTTGCCCCAAGTGCTTCAGTGGTACTGTTGCCAGTATGTATATACATAAACATATTTTTTTCTAGTCCTGTGTGTTCTACTCGATTGTTTCTGTAATTAGTGGAAGGGAAAAACAAAGGTGTATGGTACATAATTAAAATCCAGATTATCTAAAAATATTAGATTAATCTGTTTTTTTGTGCTTTATATATTTGTATTGCTGATATGATTTGTGAGGCATTGGATAAATAGTTTATATTTCAACTTGTTCTTTTCCTTACGTGTTTTCATACAGAAAATGAATGGTAGGAAAAGAAAATAAGAAATGCAGAGTATCTGTGTAATAATCCACAGGCTTAATAATGTTTTTTATTTATATAGGGCTCTACTGTTCACCAGGTTTTTAGGTGCTATTTTTTTTCCTTTTTCTTTTTTTAACTGAAATATTATATATATATATATATAAAACATAAAATTAGCCATTTCAACTATTTTTGTATATAATTCACTGACATTGAATATATTCACAATGTTGTGCAGCCACCATCACTATTTGTTTCCAGAACTTTTTCCACCACCTCAAACAGAAACTCTGTCCCATTAAGTAATAACTCCCCATTTCCCTTTCCCCCCAGCCCATGGTAATCACTAATCTGTTTTCTGTCTCTATGCTTTTACCTATTCTAGATATTTCATATAAGTAGGTTCATACAATATTTTGTGTCTGGCTTATTTCACTTGGTATGATGTTTTCAGTGTTCATCCATTCTGTAGCATGTATTAGAACTTCTATCCTTTTTATGGCTGAATTATATTCTATTGTGTGTACATAATGTACACATTTTATTTATCCATCTGTTGATGGAATTTAGGTTGTTTCCACCTTTTGGCTATTGTGAATAATGCTGCAAATGAACATTACCAAGTTTTTTTAAAAAATATTGTAACTTATCAAAAATAACATTTATTTTTTAAAACATATTATCCCGTTTGATCTTTATAATATTTTAATTTCTGACGAAGAAAAGAGGCTCAGAAAGCTTAAATGATTTTTTCCAAGGTCCCAACGTAAGTGCCAGCACTGACATGAGAGCCTAGGTCTTCTACATCCTGGTTAGTTTAGTTTTCTCTGCTCTAAACTGGAGCCTCACACCTAAAACAATTAGCCCTCCAATAGTCAGGATTTAATAGTAGTCACTAAGGTTTGAGACCTTTCCCTTTTTTGTTAATCAGCAAGAAAGGCTTTTGTTATCAGAGTTGTTAATTATATTAAAAAGTTTTAATTTTCTTAAAAATAGTTGGTTCATTTCACCAATGAGAACTATAGTTAAAAGATTCATTTAGAACTTCGTGATGTGATTGGACTGGTGTAGCCTTTATCTGGGTTTATTTTTTAATTTCTAGGCAGGAAGACCGACTACATCCATGGTACATTCTTCCAGTGGAGACATTTGGACATTGTTGGGGACAGTACTTTACCCATTCCTTGCCATCTGGAGATTGATTAGCAACTTCTTATTTAGTAATCCTCCTGCACAGACTTCTGTGATAGCAACATCATCAGAACCCTCAAACTCTGCATCATCTAGCAACTCAGAAAAAAGGTATCTGTTTTTGTTTCCCCCTTTGTAAAAAAAAAAAAAAAATTTAGTAGTGCCCCATATCACAAGGGCTATGCCTTAATCCAAATGGAAAATTTTGTTATGTGCACTTTGCTTTTTTTCTGTATATCTTCCCCAACCCCTACTTTGGAGAAAAGAAAACCACATGTTCTGAAACTGTCATATCATCTGTCCTGGGAAGCTTCACTACCTGAGTTTTCTCTGCCATCTTCCTAAAACCTATTCCATGGAAACCAGCTTCACCTCTGTTGGTTTTATTTCATTCATTGAATTCCCTTTATCTTGTGACTATCAAGGCAAATTTTTTTCCCCATGCATAAGTAGTTCTTTCTCTCTGGCTAGCTGTGTTTTACCTGATCAGATATTGCATTGCATTAGTTGCTCACAGTCATCTTGCAGAATTTCTTCAGAGGAACCATTGTGTTCTAGATAATTTTAACCCTGGTGGCTCTTGTATCTGCTGGCTAACAGTCTTTTCTGGGTCATTCAGAGAAGGATCAAACTGAGGAAACTGGATATCTCTTGAAAATGCTGCTGCCTTCTGAAAGTTAGTTTGAACTGTTCCCTTAACTGAGTGGTCCTACTTTTACTGCCAATGGCAAAGGTTGGAATGGTAACGTAGATCACACTGGCAATTTTAGCTCATACATTTGGGTTTTTAAAATTACACGTATTTGAAAGAGGTTGACCCAAATTGAGAAGTATTTTCCTAGAAGGTGAGATTATACCCCTTTCTAATAATTAAATAGTAGCAACATTTATTATACGATAGACCTACTACTATTAAACACTCTGTTGGGCCTTTAATAAGCAGTATACTAAATCCTCATACCAATTTGTTGTGATTAGTAATGAAAATCCTTCTGTCTGCCGTCAGTGACTCCCTAGTCTTGTGTCCTATTGACTCTGTAGATGATGGTTTATGTGAGTATTGTAGCTATGCTGATTTATCCTTTATCTTGATTTATATCTTAAATGTTGGGCTGGAAGACTAATTATATCTGTAGTATGTTCCTTAAGTGGGGACCCAGGAAATTCTTCTCTTTAGTCTTAGAACAAGTAGCCCTGGTGGCACAATGGTTAAGTGCTTGGCTGCTAACCAAAATGGTGGCAGTTTGAACCCATCCAGAGGGGAAAGACCTAGAAATCTGCTTCTGAAAAGATTAGAGCCTAGGAAACTCTGTGGGACAATCCTAATCTGTCACATGGAGTCGCTGTGAGTCAAAAATCGATTTGGCAGCACCTAACAACAACCACGGTCTTAGAACAGCATTCAAACTAGGCCTTGCTAGCCCTGAATTATAAAACTCTTGCTGAGCAATGGGTGGAAATATTTAATCTTGAATTTCTGTAATGTGGAGTAGCTTACTGTGTGGGTTTTAAAACTTTTTTCAAATAAAGGAAAAGATGTGAGATTGGAGCAAACGATGAAATGGACGTATATCTAAGAAGAGGGAAGCTTTGAGTTCCACTCTTGTTCCATTTTTTTGTCTCTGCCTCTAGTGTTGCATGATTCTGTTAGCTTAAATTTCACTCCTGTCTCCTGATTTTCAGATGAGGAAGTCCTGTTTGTCTTTAATTGTTTATAAATAAGTCATTCTTAAAGATTTTGAAAGGCTTAGAAATTGGCTAATTGATCATTTATGTCAGTTAAGCTGTAAATATAAATTTGAATAGCCTCTAGGATGCTGTGTAAGTTATAAATGTTTTAGTAGACATATCAACTCACATAAATAATGAAGGAAAGATTAGTCAGCAGGTGGTCTCACTGTTCTACAGGTGGTCTCACTGTTCTAAAGCTTGGTAAGTCATTAAGCACATGGAAATGGAAAATACGATTAGGCTGGCTTGACTTAGAGCACAGATGAAGTCAGAACTGACAAAGACTAGTAAAGTCTAGTACTGTGTTAGTAGGTACAATTATCTCCCATGGACTTTCCTTACCTTAAACCGAAACAAATTGTTGCCGTGGGTTCCAGCTCATATCTGCCCTATAGGACAGAGTAGAACTGCCCCATAGGGTTTCCACCTTTCAGTTAGCCCACCTTTCAGTTAGCAGCCAAGCACTTTAATCACTGCACCACCAGGGCTCCTCTCCATTAGTATAGGCAACTGTATTTTAACTCCATCTAAGGTAAGGAAGGAGCCTTGGTGGCGCAGTGATTAAAGCACTCAAATGTTAATTGAAAGGTCTGCAGTTCAAACCCACCAGCTGCTCCTTGGAGAAAAATGTGCCAGTCTGCTTCAGTAAAAATTTATAGCCTTGGAAATGCAATGGGGCAGTTCTGCTGTCCTGTAGGGTCGCTATGAGTCAGAATCCACTTGACGGCAGTGGGTTTGGTTTTGGTTTTATACCAGTGGAAGTTTAAAGGAAAAAGCTTTGTATTGCTGCCGTTCTCATTTTATATGATCTTCCCTTTTCTCCTTTTGTTATCTCAGGGAACCAGTCAGAAAAAGAGTCCTGGAGAAACGTGGGGAAGACTTTAAAAAAGAGGGGAAGATATATAGATTGAGGACTCAAGATGATGGTGAAGACGAAAACAACACTTGGAATGGAAATTCTACTCAACAGATGTAGTGCATCAAGTACAATAATGTGCAATAATCATTGTTTCTCTTACGATTTAATTCAACTAAAATTTTACTGGAGAAGTGGGACTGTTTTGTTTTCCAGATGATCTTAAAGTTTCTCTTTATTCCTGCTTAGTGGGTGTGGGTTAAAGTTGTTTAACTCAGAAAAGTCAAGAGATAAAATAACTGGCTGTTAGGTCCTTGCACATGGTAACTAACCGAGAGAAGCCTAAAAGAATCAACAGGTCTGATAACCTCCCTTCATCAGCTTTCTTATTCAATATTTCATACCCATTAGCCCCATGCTTTCAGATGACAAGTTTTGTTTAGAGCTATTTTGCTCCAGAACTCTTAAGACCACACAGAGTAACTGGCATGTCACTTGAATAATTTGACTCTGAGAGCATTTTAATGAGTCAACCAGATGATAATTTATGTTTAACTTTTCTCTTTCGCTCATCAGCTGCAAGCAAAATCTTGTAGTTTTTAACCCTAAACACTAAATAAAAAATCTTTTCCAAAAATCAGAATGATCCTATCTTTAAGTTTTGTTATTCTAGCATTTTTTGTTGCACCACGCTTTGTTGAGGTCGTACGTCTCTGGTTTTTTTCCCTTGGACAGTACTGCCCTGGAAGTATCTCAGGAAAGTAGCTGGCTACTTTACCTTAAATATCACTGAAGGAAGACACTTTCTGGCAGACATTTGATGTTGTGTTTCTGTCTCTCCTAAGTCAGTGAGGCATCATTTTGTCTGTATGATTTTATGGACTTTATTCTCATCAGATGCAAAACGACTGCTAGTCCATAGCCTATTTTTCTGTCACCTTTATACTAAAGTTGTGCCCTCACTAATCACACTTCAAGCACTTAAAGTACCTGTAGTGTAAGACCAGTAGTATAGAATAAACATAGGCCTTTTATTCGTTAGGCTGTGCTTAAGGATTTTAAAAAGATTCTTAATATGATTTACATGCTACTTTACCCATCTGTTTTTGGTAATGGAGACCAGAAAACTGATGAGGTTTTGAAAAGGGAGCAAATTTGACAATTCCTCTTTTAACCTTCTGTTTTTAGATTGGAAGATAGCACTCTTGAGTTAACCTATGGGAGGACATTGAGTTCCTTTTGTCATGAGAAGATGAAATTTTCATAGGATAGGCTTTCTGTTTTTCGGCTGTGAAGTAACAATGACGTAAAAATGATAATAGTGTTGGCAAGGAAAGAGACAGGCTATGCTGTTAGTAGAAGTGAAAACAAGTACAATCTTTCTGAAAACAGTATTTATCAGAAACCTTAAATATTTCATATTCTTTGATCCAGTAATTTTTCCTAAGGAATGATCATAAATGCAGACAGAGTTTAGATATAAACTTATTCGTTAAGTATTATTTATTTTACTTAAGAACTGGAAACAGCCATATGCCTTCTGCAGAAATAATTAAATAGTTTTTGATGAGGAGAAATGGTGCAGTACAGGTAGTCCTCAACTGAAATGATGGGATTCTGTTCTGACAACTCCATCGTAAGTCGGTTCTGATGTAAGCAAATACTTTTTTTTTTTTTGGTTTTCATTATTATTGCCTTTTATTATCAGTCTCTTTATAAATCCAATCTGTGAACACCTGCGAGTGAACATCTGAGAATGATAACCAGTAAATTATGCACTGCAAGATTGCATGTAGTACATACTACTAACAATCACATGTTAAAAAAAAAAAAAAGTCATGTAAGTGTGGTTTAGGGTAACTCAAATACATCGTAAGTCAGGGACTGCCTGTACTAATTCAGCAATTCAATTTAACATACACTTATTAAGTACCTATTACGTGTTGGGAAGGAAAAGCAGAATACAGAGCTGTAGGTACAGTATGAGCTCAGCTTTGTAAACACATTTTACATATAGAAAGTACTATATATTAATATATATGTAAAGAAGAAAACAGCAAGATGTTAACAAGAGTGGTTACATGTGATTTTAGTTTTCTTTTTTGCACGCTTACGTGTTTTCCCGATTTTCTGCAATGATCATATTACTTTAGTCAAAAAAGTGAGTTTGAAAAAGAAAAATCTCCAGCAACCACCTCATTTAAGCAAAGATTTGTCATCTTTAAGTAAATATAGTAATATGTGATTTTAAAAAAACCTGTCGTTTTTTAAAATTACATTATTAAAAATACATTTGCAAAAATATCAAGTACCTCAAGTCAGTTTGCCTTGAAAAAAGTCAAATATAAATCTTAAGAAATTGCACATAACAGATTCATAATCTTTGAATAGGAAATCCCGCCTCAATTTTATATTTTAAAAAAAGTGTACATGGTAAACAATTCAGTAGAGAAGGCCATAAAATGAAAACGGCGTCTCCCTGCTTGCATCTTACCCTCCGTGCTATTCCCCAGAGATAACCTCTTAACAGTTTATGTAATTTTTAGAAATTTTTATGCATATATAAGCAAATATGTAATCTTTATTTTTTAAATAAATGGGATCATATTATATATACTACCCTGCATCTTGCTTTTTTACTCACATAGTCTTGAAAATCTTTCCCTATCAAACACATAGCTACCTCATATTAATGGCTGCATAGCATTCTACTTTAGGAATGCACCCCGATTATTCAGTTCTCTGGTGGCGGACATTAAGGTTGTTACAAGCTTTTTTGCTTGTTTTTGTTTTCCTATTACAAACAATGCTACACAGTGAACATCCTTGGGGTGGTACCTTAGTTGCAAAAATATACCCATAAGATACATTTGTCTAATTTGGGAAATCAAAGGGTGTTTGCAGTTTGGATTATGAAATATCCTGCCCAGTTGCTGCTTCCAAATGATGTATGAATTTACACTCCCACCAACAGTGTGTAAGAATGTCCATTTCCCCACAGCCTTGCCAACACTGTTTTATACTTTTTCATCTTTGTCAATATGATAGATGAAAAATTGTATGCATCTTACATTCATTGCGTTTATCATGAATGAACTTGAGCATCTTTTAATATTGGTCATTTCAGTTTATTTTCTGAGAACTACCTGTTTGTATTCTTTGCCAATTTTTTTGTGTTCATCTTTCTTATTGATTTATAAACGAATTCCATGTATATTAAGAAAATTAGCCCTTTGTCTAGCATATGTAAATATTTTCTCCCTATCTTCTGAAGAGTTATGTTCATGGTACTTTTCGCCACAGTGTTTACGTGGTCAAATTTGTAAGTGTTTTTCTTAATGGCTTCTAGGTCTTGAAGCCATTTCGAAGTTTAATTTAAAAAAAATTACCCATGTATCCTGGTATTCTCATGGTTTCATTTTTTACATTTAATCTGGTATCCAAGGAAGGGATCTGACTTCCCACCCCTTACCCATGGCTAATGTCCTCAAGAGCTAACTTGTTGACCCACCACCATTTATGGACTAATTCATCTTTTCCCTGATTTGACCTGCCACTTTTGTCCATACTGCATTCCCATATGATGTGGATCTGTGTCTAGTTCCCTTTTCCTGTATTGGTCTCTCTCTTCTTTCTAACAAACTAATAACTAACTTTACAATATGTTTTCATAATCTTTTTTCCCCAGAGTTATCCTGGCTTATTCTCAAAAGTTTATTTAATATGTGAAATTTTACATCATTTTGTCTCCTCTTCTCCCAAAAAAGTTGTTGTTAGTTGCCGTCAAGGCAGCTTTGACTCATGGCAACCTTATGTATATAACAGAATGAAACATTGTCCAGTCTCATCTTCAAGATCATCTTTGATATATTTGAGCCCATTGTTCAGCTGAAGTTACACTGACATTTATATTGAATTGCATTGAATTTTGAGATTAACTTAGGTATAATTGACAGCTTGTGATACTAAGTCCTCATGTCCAAGAAATGTCTTTAATACAAGTTTTAGACCCTACCCCTACCTGACAGTGGAATATTTTGACAGTAACTTACTGTAGATGTAACAATTCAGTTAAGCGCTACTTATAAGAAACAAAATATCAAGCAGCTCACTCTTCAAAATCATCCAAAAATTACTCTTTATTAAAAAGAAATTCTCCTAGATTATCTAGAAACAATATATGGACCAAATAAGTTTGTCACGCTGAGATTGTCTCTTTAGCACGTTCAAGGGTAATGTGCTTTTGTGGTCCCATCACTACTCTGGATATTGTTGTGAATGGATAAACACAAAAAAGGAGCAGGTATGCTTTCTTCCACTCCATCTCGAAAATATGCTTGCCACAGTCAGTGAGACATGTTGCTTGGCCTCAAGAAGCTGAGCAGAGAAACATGCAAACAATTCTTGTATAATGTGGACAAGCTGTAAGGAGGGATATCTAGGAGCAAAGCAGAGGAAGGAGTATCTGCTTGGGGAATTCAGAGGAGGTATGCAGAGGAGGAAGTACGTTGTTTAAACTGAGATTTGGAGGCATTTTCAGAAGAAAGGGTATTCTAGGCAGCAAGGAGTAGCATTTGCAAAGACACAAAGAAATGGAGTATGGTCAAAGACCTTCATGCAATTCAGAACTACCATGGATGGAGAGGAGGAAGAGAAGAAGTGGGTAAGTGAAAGATCACACGGGCCTTGTAGGCCATGCTTGGGTCCTTAGAAGTTGTCCAGTAGACAGCGGAGAGCCAGGAAGGACATAAAAGGTGGTAATGTGGGGGTGGAGGAGATAAAGGATAATTAAAAAGGTCATCTCTTTCTATGTTCTGTGTTGTCTCTACCCCAGGGAACATAAAGTAAGCAGAATGCTTTGCTCTGATGGGAAAGCTAAGTAGAAGCCCTAAAAGGTTGTGTGACTTTGTAACTTCCATTGTACCTAATTTCTCAAGGAGTTGCAACCACTGGAGACAGGATGTAGTTCACATTACCATTTTTATTTTCTGTGAAACAGGAGATGATGAAGTCCGTCTACACACTGGAGCTGATTTCTTATAAAAGACTGCTATGGTCTTTACTCATGTTTCCACCTATAAAAGCTTTGTAATGTGCAATGAGCCGGTTAAGTGCCTTACAAAACCATTAGACCTGTTCAGTATCTGCACGTTTCCCACAAAGCCACCTGCAGGTTCCTCTCATCCCAAATGAATTCCCAATACAGGGATAAGATGCAGATGTTTCCATTTTAATCAGGGTCTTGAACTCCTTTAAGATCAAAGTAATCTCTAACAATGCAGAAGGTCTTTATGAAGTCCAGGATAGGCGGACTTCTAAGGTCCTAATGAGCTTTGTGGGTGGCACACAAACTCAGCCTACTTCATAGAGCTTGTGAAGGTGGTAATTGTGGGTCAGAATGAAGAGAGATTACTCAACTCCTGTTGGCCTGGCTGTGTTTCCTCTTGCTTGGAATGCGTACAGCATTTGTATGACAGGAATGCCACGCTACAGACTCCAAGAAGCACAAGAGAAAAAAGTACGTACAAAGCTGTTTGTGCTTCTGCCGCACCTAGTGTTAGCCCCAGGAACGAAACTCCCTCCTTTCTCGGGCTGATGGTGGGAACAGCATCTAGAAGACAACAAAGGGTCATCCATGCACCAGTCCTGATTTAGCCCTGGATCTATAATAACCTATATTAAGCCCAAGATAACCTGTTGCCATCAAGTCAATTCCGATCCACAGCAACCCTATCGGACAGAGTAGAACTGCCACATCTTTCTCTTGTGTAGTGGCTGGTGGGTTTGAACTGCTGACGCTTCAGTTAGGGTCTGAGCACTTAACCGCTGTGCCACCAGGGCTCCTAAGCCCAAGATAGATGCTTGGAATTCAGAGGTTACACAGGTAACCAAAATCTGCACAGCCGGAGTAAGTTCACTGCTGTGGGAGAAAGTGCACGACCCCTTTCACCGTGTATTATGGGTCTCTGAATGAGGTTAAACGATTATTAGAATGTCAGCAATTATAATAATCTAAATTGGATAATTGTCTCATATTTGTATACTAAGTTACACTTTTTGAGTCAACAAAAATGGTACCTGCATTGTGCCAGGCACTACTTTCACAATCATTTGTCAATTTCTTGCCTAAGGTCACACAGCAGCAAGTTCGTGGCTGAGCTGGAAGGAAACACTAGACCTGTTCGTTCCCGACCAGTGCTGTGGTTTGTACGGTAACATTAACCCCAAGCACACTTCGTTCTGTCACAAGAATGTTGAGCATTCACGGGAAATAGATATTGGTTGAATGAAGAGGGTGGAGAGGCAGGGAGGAAGGTATAAAGCAGAAAAAAATATACTAGAAAAGGCCCCTCACCCTCTGGCTTCAGTGCCTCCCAGAACCACCTCTCACCTTCCAGCTGGAGACAAGGGTGAGGCCCTGTGGCAGGGTCAGGGAAGCCATTGCACCGGGCTACGGAGGCGTAGAACTTGGCCGACTCTTTGAGGATCCTCGGCAGAGAAGGGTCAGTGTAGTTCACAAAGTGCAGCCCAAACCTCTCAGCAAAGCCTGTGGCCCACTCAAAATTGTCCATCACACTCCAAGCTGTGTATCCTCGAATGTCCACCTTATCCTGCACAGCTGCCCAAACACAGAGGCCCAAGCATGAGCTTTACTTGTCATGGAAGACACCTTTCTCCCAGGCTACTGAAGCCATTGTCCCCCACAGCCCTCCCACAATCCTGAGCTGTCAAATCAAGATGAGTCTCGGCTCTCTTTGAGAGAGTTGCCATAGAGTTTGGATGTAATTGTTGGGTGGTTCTACGTGGTTGGAGTTGCAGAGTCACTAGCATCTTTCTAGAAAGCCTTAGCCCTGAATAGGGATCTAAATTAATCCCACTGGATCATCTACAGTCCTCTCTGTGCATCTCACAATGTTGGTCTTGGTCAGTAACTTAGAGTGTCGATGCTCCTCACTGTAGCAAATAAGTGGCCCTTGGATGGAAAAACTTTTAGCTGGAATAGGATTTTCTAATTGTTTCCTTTGGCTGGTACATTGCTCATTCTCTCTTTACTCAGCATTACTTACCATTCCCTTACTCTCATGGTCCCATCCCAAGCTGTTTTGAGTCTGAGGATCTCACACTTTTGCTTGGGAAACAAAAGACCCTACAAACACCCAGCCTACTACTCCTGACCCCTGTTCAAACCCTCAGGATGCACTGCTGTTCAGAGACAGGAAGGTGGAAGCAAATGACTCAGGCCAGCAACTAAAGTCTAGCTGATATCAGGCAACTGGGTTTGCTTGCTGACTGGATCTTGGAGGACTAAAACTCAGAGTATAGCCCCAAGGAAAAGCTTATACCCAATAGGAGGGAGAAGCCTCTTTCTCTTGTTATTCCTGGATGCAGGAGCAACTCCTGGGTACAGTATTACCCTACTGTAGGTGTTAGTGGATGCTTCCAACAGTGAGAGGTAGACATGGAGGAAGTGGTCGGCCTGTCATACCTTTGAGTGCCTCATTGATGTAACTGCGGAGGTAGTAGATCCTCGCAGTGTCGTTGAGGTTTACCTCTCCCCGCTGGGACACTCCATTCTCTGTTATATAAATCGGCGGGTTGTTGTACTCCTCCTTTATCCAGTTCAGGATCTTTCTGAAGCCAAAATGTATCATCTTTAGCCAGAAGGAGCCAGAGCCTGACCAAGATCGATCTGTGATGGAAGCAACTCCCCTAGGAGTTCAAAAACCAAAGATTAGGTCTCATTTTGTAAGTCCCAAGATGCCCTTTGCACAAAACACAAAACTTATACTAGGAAAAGCCTTAGGTTTTGTCTAACATTGAGTGTCATAACTCAGAAGAGTCCAATTGCCTCAAAGTCTCCTTTTTTTACTAGTCCTAGTTCTACCACTCAAAGCTGGTGTAACTTTGAAAAGCCACTTAAGCTCTCTGTTGTTCTAGCTCACTACCTGTACAGGAGAATGGACTTGCTCATGGAGCCTAAGCCTGCAAGGGCTCTCTGTTGAACAGACTACGTCTCACACTAGATGTGGAAGGCTCTAGATTCCCCGAGCTACAACCTTCCAACAGCATGCAAGGACTACGTCTTCAGAGAACAGGCCCGAGTCTACCGATGTCGATAGTCAACTCCACACACAGGTCACAGGTACAGCCATAAGCATCAAATTCAGGGTCCTCATTTGTATGATGACAGGGAGCAGATAGGCTGGGACCTGCTTCAGGTGTCCCAGACCCTGATCTCTTTCTCTAGTTATGGACAATGAGAGGGCCAAAAGATTTTGCCAAAAGAATGGGTGCTGGGGAGAGACAGAAGCTTGAACATCTCAGGATTCATGGATTTCACATACATACTAGCTATTTAGGTATTTCTTATACCCTTCAGGGGGAAAAATGTTTAGTTTTATCAGTAACTGGAGTTTTCTTACTCAGCTGAACTGAATGTGGGCCATTTTGTAAGTTTGAGCAGAGGTCACTGGGTAGGCAGTCCCAGGACTGATAAGGCACCAAGAGTGTGGGGTCGGGGAAAGAGAACTAGTAGAAGGCGTCCTGGACCTGGGACGTCTCCTCAAGCCCCCTGGGCAAGCTTGACTTTGGTAGTTTCAGGATGCAGTGGGACTGTAGGGGTATTTTGTTTTGTTTTTGCATAATAAATCTTTATTTTTAGGTGATCACCGTTACATTAAGTAATAACATATAACAAGTTCTTGAATTCTATCATCTAGTAATTTTTATTAAGAAAAACTAAAAGCAGCCCAAACAACTAGTATTTGTTAGAAACGATTATTTTAAGGCTGGCTGCTGTTTCACAGAAGTTGCAAAATAACTGTTTACTACTTATACATTGATCTTCCAGAAAGCTTTAGGGAAATAAAATATTTAACCCATTTCTTCAAATAGTTGTTTATCTGTACTAGATATTTAAGAAACAAAAGTCAGTATCACTATATGTGCTTCAGCTAAAAGGTATGTGAAAACAATGTATACCATTAAATGTATAAGAAATATGAGGAAAAAAGATAAAATCTTTGGGTAAGCTCTAAGTCTGTACAAAGAAGGTAGGCTTGCTACTCTCGAAAAAGTGAAGGGACCTACTACATAGTACACAGAAATCATTTAATGCCTTTTCACAAGAATATGACTGTAGCTTTGCTAAAGCTTATATTCCATGTGAGAGCATCTAAAATGCCAATCCATGGAACAGGTGCTTCCTTCTTCCCTATCCATTTAAGCGGTAGTTTTCCCGGATTTCTGGCCAGATGTCGCAGACAAAGGTCAAGAGGTTATCCAGGACTTCATCACTGTTCTGCCCGAAGTAGGTCTGGAGGATAGTCATCTCCTCCTCGGTCTCCACTTCAGCGCAGCGACCGCCGTGGGATCCCAGAGCCGCAGCTTCCTGGGCCTGGAACTCTTTCTTCCTCTGCAGGCTGTACTGTTCAGTGTTAGCCTGAGTGGCTTCTTCGGCTTGCATCAGCCTCCAGTTCTTTCACTCGTGGGCCTCGGACACCTTGGTGGCACGCTTCACTGCCTGCAGCTGCCACTCTGAGCTGTAGGAGTTTGTTTTTAAAGAAGGAGCCTAGACAGATTCAGAGCTACTGATGTGGAAAGATGCTTGTCAGAAAAAGAAGAAAGCAGTATGTATTCATATGACTCCAGTTTTGGTTCAAAACAAAAACAAAGAACTATATACATAGATAGATAGATAAAGATAGATACATAGATAACGGGTAGTCCCCTTCCATATATATGTACTTCTGAAATGATACACACAAAAATTCCTATTCCTGTTTTCTAATGTTCCTACCATGAACATATATGATTTGTGTAATACAGAAATAATAGTTGGATCTTTCCCTAAATGGGGGTGAGGGGGAAGGACTCTTATTGTTATTTTGATTGAAATACATCTGATAAGTGAAATAAATTTGGCAATAAAACAAAAGCAAGGGAAGAAAAATATTTTTCTTTTACTTGAAAATATTTTAAAGATCAAGTCTGTCTGTCTTAATAGGCAGCACCTTGGAGATCTTGGTCTTGTCTTACTCAAATCGTTAGAGATTTTATGTGGCATCTCAGGAGGTGGCGATCATCTTGCAAACCCTGGAATGCACGGTAGCAGGAGGCAGTTCCCCCAGGCTGTGCAGGCCTCTATGTACCAGCTGGGCCACAGGGACAGGTCCTGTCTTTTCCACAGATTGCTCCAGGTGCCCCGGTGGCAGGCTTACCTGTCGGCATCATAGGAGGTGATCCAAGATGCAGAGTTGAGGTTGTAGGCCAGGATAGTAGTGTAGTGATTGAACCCAAAAAAGTCATAGGTGCCGTTGATCCTCCTCTTCTCACTTTCGCTAAATTCTGGGAGCCTGGGTGGAACAAGCCATTGAGGGTGTGGGGCTTCGGGAAGAATCATGCTTCCAGAAGAGAATGGAATGGAATGGGGTGGGGTAGGGGAGGGCTCTGACAGCTGTGCTATATAGGAAAGTTTGGGGGAATGACTCCAAGGCTGTGTTAGGAATTTGTATCTTCTGAATTCCTTTTACTCTCCCCTGCTGAGTTCACTTGAGCTACCTTAGAGCTGTGGGTATGTCCCCATAGGACCGTCACTTGTCCCCTTCCACATATCGCACCTCTAATCTCAGCTGGATGACTCAAACCCAGAGTGTGGGCCCTGGAGTCAGACTGCCTGTTTTCAAATCTCCATCACTTAAAAGCTGAGTGACCTTGCCCTAATCTTTGTGCCTCAGTTTACTCGTCTTTAAAAATAGGAATAAAAGTATCAATTAAAGATGGATAAATGTTAGCTGTTGTTGATGTTTCTGTTACTTCCTTGACAGGAAGAGGGACCGGGCCAGGCAGTAGGGCTGCATTGGTGCAAACCATAGCCATCTACTGGCCAAATAACTAAAAGCACACACCTGGCTGTGACCTGGAGCCCTGGTGGCGCAGTGGTTAAGAGCTTGGCTGCTAACCAAAAGCTCAGCAGTTTGAATCCACCAGCTGCTCCTTGGAAACACTATGAGGCAGTTCTATTCTGTCCTATGCGGTCGCTAGGTGTCAGAATCGACTTGACGGCAACGGGTTAGGCAGTGACTCACTGCTATCACACTCACTCATAGGTGATGAAAGAGGACTAGGAGGAGCTGGGGAATTTGTCCTTGGAGTAAAGCAGAAGGGTTGCTAAGAGGTTGGTGCCCTTGGGAAAGATTTCCTGGCTGTTCTGAATAACAACTTAATAGCAACTTTTATCAAGCACAGAGCAATGCCAGGTCCAGGGCTAAGAGCTTGACACAAGCAGGGAGGCTCAGATGTAAGGTAACTTGCCCGAGAAGTGCCTCTCTGACTGCAGTGCCGGGCTCTCCCCACTGTCTCCACGGTCTGCCCCGGAGTCTTAGTTTGGCACCGCAGACCAGACTTCCTCCTGCTGCTCTCCTGACTCAAGGTGGGCACAGGAACTTACCGAGACTTGCTGAGGCCTGCGGCCAAGCTCCTGTCGAGGATCCGTGTCTTCATCACCTCATTGTAATCTCCGTTCTTGAAGATAGGATGTGCAAACCAGCCTCCCGTAAACTGCAGGTGGGGTTGGGGGATAGTCAGATGGGCCAAGAGGCAGCACCAGCCCTGCCCAGAGGTCACTGACCTCAGAAGCCCCCCTTTCTCCCCAACCCCCAACCTTAAACTCTCATTTTCTCCAGGCCTGTTTGCATGTTGCAGCCTGAGTGCCTGCAGATCCCTTCACCTGTGTTAGTTTTTCAGTAACTGCCGTCTCACCGGGGCAGGGCAGTGTTCTCAGGCAGTGTTCTCAGTAGTTTCATCCCGAGGAGGATGAACTGAACGGATCGCTGCCCTGGCGCACAGTAAATGTTGCCTTGCTGCCCTTATACGTGTCCCGTATCTGTGCTACCCACAGAAGATGAGGGAAAGATACGAGCCTGCCGGCCCCTGATTCCCTCTCCCTATAAAGCAGCTGCCAGCAAAGACTTTTTCCTCTCAAAATGCCTATGCACCAACCAGAACTTTCTGGAAAGGAGTGATTTGCAAGGCTTTCCTCTCTGCCCAGGCAAAAGATAATCTTTCGTGGGCTTTGGATTCACAGCCCTAAAGTGGGGAACTTTTCAACCTATTTTCTTTAATGAGGTCTAAGTCATCCTTGGAGTCCCTGGGTGGTACAAATAGTTAAACAAAGGGTTGGAGGTTGGAGTCCACCCAGAGGTGCCTTGGAAGAAAGGCCTGGTGATCTGCTTTGAAAAATCAGCCATGGAAAACTCTATGTGTCAAATCCTGCTCTGACACACGTGCGGCCACCATAAGTCAGAATTGACCGGACAGCAATTGGTTAGGCCATCCTTACCCATAGGGGGAATACATGGTACCCCAACACTATGATGGATTTGAGGAGCTGCTTCTGTCTCTCCAAATCCTCCCATCACCTGCTGTCTGATCCCTAAAGTATGGGGTGGGGTAGGCTTCCATTTCAAAGTCAGAGATGAAATTCGGAATATACATTCCCTGCTAAAAGAGGCTTAAATGCACTCTAACGTAACAAATCAGATCTTTTTGTGGAAGCAAATTTTAATAGTGATGTGTCTTGGGCTGCAATATCACAGTTCACCAGTAAGTGGTTCAACCTGATCTAACCCAAAAAACTCATTGTCATTGAGTCAGTTCTCCCGTAAACTCATAGCAACACTACAGGACAAAGTAGAACTGCCCCATAGGGTATCCAAGGCTTTAATCTTATGCAAGCAGACTGCCATATCTTTCTCTCACAGAGCAACTAGTGGGTTCGAACCACTGACCTTTCAGCAGCTGAGCACTTTAACCACTGTGCCACCAGGGCTCCTTCAATCTAATCTACAGCCTAACATTTCCTGAAGTTTGGGGGTTTGATTTCAGTGAAACAAATTATCGCTCTACTTCTTGAGTTCAGTGAGTCTGAAGTGAAGGATGCATTTATTTTGTCTCAAGCTTTCTTTTCTTTAGCTGGCTGTTGTGTTGTTGTTAGGTGCTGTTGAGTCGGTTCTGACTCATAGTGACCCTGTGTACAACAGAACAAAATACCGGCCAGTCCTGCGCCATCCTTACAACCGTTGTTATGCTTGAGTCCATTGCTGCAGTCGCTGTGTCAATCCATCTAGTTGAGAGTCTTCCTCTTTTTTATTGACCCTCTACTTTACCACCAAGCATGATGTCCTTCTCCAGGGACTGATCCCTCCTGATAACATGTCCAAAATATATGAGATGTAGTCTCGCCATCCTTGCTTCTAAGGAACATTCTGGTTGTACTTCTTCCAAGACCGATATGTTCATTCTTTTGGCTGTCCATCGTATATTCAGTATTTTCACCAACACCACAATTCAAACGCATGCATTCTTCTTCTTCGGCCTTTCGTTATTCATCGTCCAGCTTTCGCATGCATATGAGGCGACTGAAAACACCATGGTTAGCTGGCTAGCAAACTGAAAATTTGGCTCTTGTTTGCATTTTCTAATTTGACCACCTCTGTCAAGCTCCCTTCTGAAGATTTTGGCAAACGAAGGCTCTGGTGTCCCCCAAGAAATTCAGAATGCCACAGTCAGGCAGGCTCCACAATAGAGCCCAAAGTGGAACCATCTGGAGAAAGAGAGATCTTTGCCTTTCTTTCCTGACACTGAAATGTGGGAAAGGGTGCCTTCTAACCCCTTCAGAGACACTAACAAGGGCCAGGGAAAAGCTGTGCCATGAAAGAAGGCCATTCTTCTTTCTCCTCTTGTCAAGACTCAGATTGAAATAAGGGTGGGACATCTAGGTTCCTGCTTACTGGTGTCTCTACTTCCTAGAGAGTAGCAATGGGGCAAAAGTCCTAGACCAAAATATACATGTTCTTATGCTAAACTCATGGAATTGGCAAATTAGGGGCACTAAAGATTTTCACAGACTCTAAAGCTTAGAAGCGAGGATGGCTAGACTTCATCTCACTTACTTTAGACATGTTATCAGTATGGACCAATCCCTAGAGAAAGAAATCATGCTTGGTAAAGTAGAGGGTCAATGAAAAAGAGGAAGACCCTCAATGACATGGACTGATACAGTGGCTGCAACATGGACTCAAACATAGCAACAATTGTGAGGATGGCACAGAACCGGGTAGTTTTTTGTTACGTTGTACATAGGGTTGATATGAGTTGGAACCAACTTGACGGCACCTAACAACAACAATAAAGCCCCAAATTTAAGAAATTCTTAAACCCAAAACCAAACCCATTGCTGTCAAGTTGATTCTGACTCATAGAGACCTATAGGACAGAGAGTAGAACTGCCCCCTAGGGTTTCCAAGGCTGTAATCTTTACAGAAACAGACTGCCATATCTTTTCCCCGCAGAGCAGCTGGTGGGTTCGAACCACCAGCTTTTTGGTTAGCAGCCAAGTGCTTAAGCACTGTGTCACCAAGGCTCCTTAAGAAATGCTTAGGCCGGAGTAAGTAAACTTAGATGGTAACACCTAGAGTTGAAGCATGACATTGCAGCCCAGCTCTATTAGATACCATAGTCAAACCAGAGAGATTAAAAAGATGGAATTTCTTTCTATTAATTAGCTTCAAACCAATGTTACATCCAGTAAGGATTACATGCATAAATAATTTCAGAAGATTTACAAGATTTAAAAACCCAACCCCAAAGAACTTAAATCACTTTCATCACAGCAAGCCTGTAAGATGGGTAGGGCATGTCCATTTCACAGAAGAGAAAACTAAAGTACAAAAAGGTTAGGTGATTTTCCCAATCTAGGTAACAGCACATTAGGTTTCCCAAATTAGGTAACAGCAAAATAGGGCCTAAATCCTAAATCTTTGATCTGCAATCTAATTTTATCTCCATTAGACCATGACCAGGAGGCAAAACAGGCAATAGTAAGAACAGTTCCCAGAGAAAAAACAGACCTGAAGGAATCTCCTGGCTGCCTCCACATCCTCCTGGTTGGAGGGGTTTCTGGGCTCAGCCCAGTCGCTGTTGATGGTGATGGAAATGATGCCACCTTGAGTGGCGCGGTACACGTCGTTATACAGATGCCAGGCCTCAGCATGAGCCTTTATTATGTTGTGGCCAGCAATGTAGGGGGCAGTGCCAGGCCTTAAGGAGATTCCTGGAAACTCACACGTGGATGTCATTGAAGAATGAATGTGGCTGACATGTCTGCTGTATATTTGGGGAAAAGAGTATAGGTGTTGGAGTTAGGAAGACTGGAATTGAAAGCCTGGCTCCACCTCTTATTAGCTGGGTGTGTAACTTTGGACAGATAATTCAGCCTTTCAGTAAAATACGCAATGCAGAGTTCTTGTGAGAAAGAAATGAAACAGCATATGTGAAGCCCCTGGCACTAGGTCTGGCAGGTAGAAAGCACTTGATAGTAAGTGTTGGTTTCTGTTTCCCTTTCCCCAAAAGAGTGACTCCTGTGTCTCAGGCAAAGTACTCAGAAAGGTGTGTGCCTCATGCGTGGTCATTCTGGAGCTTTTTGGAGCCCACTGTGAATTTGAGCTTTGAAAATATAGCTGCTGTGAGCAGCTGGCCTAAGAGGTTTCTTGAGAGCAAATGTTACGAGACAGCCCCTTCTTGTGTGTTGACAGAATGGTCAATCAAAGTGCCAACCACGTACCAATGGCAGATATGTCTGGTAAGGATTTGAGGCAGACCGGCCCCAGATTTCCCGCATTTACACAGGATCCGAGGAATCACATGGATGAATACAAATCGACTCTCATAAGCTCAGAACTAGAGGAAAGGAAAATTGCAGTTTTCTCAAGGGGCAACGACAGGTCCACAATCCCTTATGCAAGACCCTTAAAGTCAGAAGTGTTTTGGAATGATTTTTTTTTTGTATTTTGGAAAAGTAGTAAGTTACATGTAACCTTCCATAGGGCCCAGGAAAGTTCTCCATAATCCAGCATACTCATTGTCTGTACCACCAAAAAAAAAAAAAACCAAACCTGTTGCCGTTGAGTCGATTCCGACTCATAGCGACCCTAGAACTTCGGAATAGCACGCTAAGTGGGATAAAGACAATAAATAACCTCATGTTGTTTCAAGTCTGGTTTGACTATTGTTAAGTGAGCTCAGGCAAGCCAAATCAGCGGTCTGAACCTTGTGGATTTGGGGATTGTGGAAGGCTGACTGTGGACCTGTACCGACAGATGAATTCTCCTTTCCCACATCTATTAGTCCCTGGTCTCCAGGAGCTTCCTGTTGGAGGCAGGTCAGAGTCACAGAACAAAGAAGTAAAGCCATTGTGAGGTGCTGAATCATGCAATTCACATTTCACAAAAGAGGTGTCAGAAAGGGAGCCCCCTGCTCCCCGCTGTGCAGCCTTGAGGAAGAGGCAGGGTTTCTGAGGCACTGCTTGGTCCTTCCAGGCCTTTCCACCCATGCCACCTGGATTTCATGCCTTCGTGCCTTTAAAAACACAACACTCCAAAGAGCTGACAGGTCAGGCCCGGGACCTTTACCTGGAGCTGCTGTCCCGTAGCCATAGCCCTGGCTAGCAACAGCCAAGGGTTCATTCACCGTGATCCAAAACTTCACCTTGTCTCCCAGCCTCTGGAAGAGCACATCTGCATACTCTTTAAACCGCTGGACAATGGTCTCATTCTCCCAGCCACCAACATCCTGTAGTGCCTGGGGCAGGTCCCAGTGGTAAATGGTCACCTGTGAAAAAGCCAGATCAGCAGTCAGTCAGCCCTGCTCTCCAGGCCTGGCGTCCCTTAGGAAACATCCCTTACGGGAAGCCACTGACATTACATCAGCCAGCATAAAGGCCTGCTGCTAAAGCTGAGGATGAGTTGTGGGACAAAAAGGCTGAAAGATTTTTTTTTTTTTTTGGTGTGGGTAGGGGAGGCGGGGGGCAGCAGCATCAAAGGGTGATAAATTTACATATCTACATCAAAAAGTCTGGGTTTAAATCCTGCTTATGCCCCTCTACTAGCTGTGTGACCCTGGGCTCAGGCATGAACACCTCCACTTCATGGAATCATCGTGGGCCGAAATCAGATGGGAGAGCACATGACAAGCACCCTGGGAGATCTTCCGTAAGTGTTAGCTGTCAGTGCCGTTAGAGATGGGAAGTACCAGTGCTTCAGAACCTTCCCGGAAAAATGCACTGGAAGTCTGAGGGTATGGTAAAGGGACACCCCAAAGGACATCACCTGACATGCCTGGAGGCCCGTCCTGCAGCACTGGGAACCCTTCTCTGCTGTGGCCAGGTCCATGCGGTGGCCTTTCCTCTCTCCTGGCCTTCCTTCAAATGACCCCCAAGAGACTTCATCTTGGCCAGGCCAGGCTCTCCACTGTCAGCCCGACTAGGTGTAACCATCTTCAGCCCAGGCCCAAGTCTTTGCCTTTGTCTCAAATGCCCTTCCTCTGCCTCCCACCATCCAAACCCTCCTCTTTATTCAAGACCCACACATCCCTGAGGCTTTCCCTGCCCACAGCACCTTTCCTTTTGTGGTGCCACAACACCCTCAAGCTCTACAACGTCATTTGGCCCTGAGTTGCCTACTCTCTGATGCCGTTCTGGCACTGTTATACATGAAGAACCCGACTGTCCACCCGACAGTGGCGCACTGGAGGACAGCAGCTCTGCTATCTTCTCCATCCTTCACAGGATTCACCGTAACAAAGCCTTGCACAGGCTAGCCCCTTCCCGCAGTGTTAGCAGAGAGACAACAGGAGGCCAGACAGCACTTTTATTTGGAAAAAGCTGTTTTGGGGGCCTGGGAGAGAGCGTTTGCAATGCAGGGATTATGCTTTGGCTGAGGTGTATAATCTCCACTCGTTTCTTTCAGCAGAGGAAACAAGTAGGTTCACAGAATTGTTACCTTCAGTCCTTTGTTATAAATGACCCAGGGATGGGGTGGCAGGGAGTGTTCTTAGGTTTCCAAATAAAAATAAAAAATTTTGGTGACAGCAAATGAAGCTCACAGTGAGTTTCTATAGTCTTATTCATAATAATTTAAGGCTTAAAAGCATATTCACTGTTCTGCATCCCACTTTGGTGAGTAGCATCTGTGGTCTTAAAAGCTAGTGAGCAGCCATCTAAGATACATCAACTGGTCCCAATTCACCTGGAGCAAAGGAGAATGAAGAACACCAAAGACACAAGGAAAATATTAGCCCAAGAGACAGAAAGGGCCACAAAAATCCAGAGACTTCATCAGCCTGAGACTAGAAGAACTAGAAGGTACCCGGCTACCACCAATGACGACCTTGACAGGGAACACAACAGAAAGTCCCTGACGGAGCAGGAGAAAAGTGGGGTGCAGAACTCAAATTCTAGTCAAAAGACCAGACTTAATGGTTTGGCTGAGACTGGAGGGACCCCAGAAGACATGGCCCCTGGACTCTCCGTTAGCTCAGAACTGAAACCATTCCTGAAGCCAACTCTTCAGACAAAGATTAGACTGGACTATGGGGCATAAAATGATACTCGTGAAGAGTGTGCTTCTTACCTCAAGTAGATACATGAGACTAAACGGACAGCTCCTGTCTGGAGGCGAGATGAGAAGGCAAAAAGGGACAGGAGCTAGTTGAATGGACGGGAAATCCCAGGTGGAAAGGAGGAGTGTGCTGTCACAGTATGGGGACAGCAGCTAGGGTCACATAGCAATGTGTGTATAAATTTTTATATGAGAAACTGACTTGAACTGTAAACTTTCACTTAATGCACAATAAAAAAAGACCAAAAACCACACACATTCGCCTCCTAGGATTGTATCCTACAGACCAACTTTCACACATGTGAAGTGATGTATGTCTATGGCTACTCAGGAGTCCCTGGGTGGCACAAACAGTTAAGCGCTCGGCCATTAACTGAAAGGTTGGCAGTTCAAATTCACCCAGAAGTGCCTCAGAAGAAAGGCCTGGCAATCTACTTCTGATCAGCCATTGAAAACCCTCTGGAGCATAGTACTACGACACACATAGGGTCACCATGAGTCAGAATCGATCTGAAGGCAACTGGTTTGGTTTGGTTTTTATGGATGCTTGTTGTAGTACTGGTTATAATAGCAAGAGTGGAAACACCCTAAGTGTCCATCAACAGGGAAATAATTAAAGAAGTGTGATATAAACACAATTCCACATAACTGTAAGAAGAGAAAAAAGCAGAACAAATGCAGAAACTCTATCCACTGATATGGAAATATCTATGAGGCATATTGTTAAATAAAAGGAAGTATCAAATGGTGGTCTGTTACCACAATGAAAAGAAAGGAGAAAAGAAATATTCATGCAAACACACACATATATACTTATACGTGCAAAAGAAGGATACACAAGAAACTAGCAAACTTGGTTGTCTGTAGGGAGGGGACCTGGATGGCGTGGGTCAGGGATGGGAAGGAGACTTTGCTCTGCGGACTCTTAAGCTTTTTAAGTTCTGACGTATGTCAACTTACTGACAATTTAAAAAATTAAAGTTTAAAACAGCCCCTCACCTGCGGCTTGATGTTGGCAGCCAGCAGGGCATCAATGAGCCGCAAGCAGTAGTCCAGGCCTGCTTCATTGATGTACCTAGTGGTTCCATCCGGGAGGATGCGGGACCAGGAGACAGAAAAGCGGTAGTGAGACACACCCAGGTTCTGCAGGGCTGCCAGATCCTTGGCAATCTTGTGATAACTGTCACAGGCCACGTCTCCAGTGTCATCGTTCCCCACTCTCAGAGGTGTGTGAGAATACTTCTCCCAAATACTGAGTCCCTTGCCATCTTCTCTCCATGCACCTTCAACCTGAAGAAGACAAGACAGGTCTAATTAAGTCATTCAGTCAAGTCACACACAAGTTCCTTAGCCTTCCTGTCAGCAGATGGGTCCCAAGTGAGGATGGAAGTCAGCATTGCCTTCTCTGGAAGCCTCCTCTGCCCACCCCTCTGATTTCTGAACTTCCAACATTTTCTGTATACACACACAGCATCATCACACTGCATTACACAATCGTCTGCCTGCTGACTGGCTTCCCACAAGACTGTGGGGTCTAGGCACTTGTCTTTCATCTCGACCTCCCAGCAATGGGGGCAGCAGTGTCTGGTGTAGGGGGCGTGTTCAGTAAAGGTGTGAACGAACAACCACCCCTCCCTCCCCCCACTGAATCATGACCCAACAAATTCCAATGATACCAGGTATGGAGGCAGAATTTCTGATCAGGACATGTGTTGCTGTTTCTGTGCCTCTCATTTGTCCTCCCATCATCTTATGGGGAAACTGCCTATAGTCTTAAGTCGTCTGACAGGTATACATCGTGTAACTTACTTTAAAACAGTTCTGCCAAGTACATTGTATGATATTGTCTAACGAGATGAAGGCTGGCATTCAAATCAAGAATGCACACCCATGGCATTTCAGCAAAGAATCTTCGTATTTGCTCGTCTTTGTCCAAGTGTTTCTGCCCAGACTCCACCTGCTCCATCTTGCCCTACAAACACCTATCTTGCACAGCCAAATTTGGGGATGAGAAGGAGTCAGGCTGATGGGGAGGAGGACCTCCCTGACTCCCCCACAGCACCCTATACTTCCTTCCCTCAGGGTAGTCAACAGACTCTACTGAAATCCCTACTCATGTGCCTGCCCTCCCCCGTAGCCCATTGCCTAGCCCAGAGCCTGGCACTTAGCAGGTGTGCAATAAGTGTTTGTTGAACTGCACTGAACTCCTCACCTGATATGCTGAGGAAGCTGCACTCCAGATGAAGCCATCAGCTGTCCGTACAAAAACTCGTCTTCCTTGGGCAGTGGCATGCCATTGTTGGTAATGACCTCTGTGTAGTATGTGGCAGAGGTTCTTGCTGTTCGAGGCCTGTTCAAGACATTGAAATCAACATGGTACAGTCCAAACTTGACTGTGTAGCCATGCAACCATTCAAAGTTGTCCATCAGAGACCATGCCAAATATCCTCGAAAATCTACACCATTGAGCCTGTAGGCTGGGGACATCCCAAGGGGAGCAGAGAGGAGAGCTTTACACTATGAGACAGGATCTCCAACAGCACAGCCAACTCAATTCCTCAACTCAAGACAATAAACCATCAACTTCTACACACAGGTAATGTTTGCCCTGATAGATAAACAGATTATCTTGGTTATCTTTCTTTTTTCTGGCACTGATGACCACCTGGCAAGTATTAATGATGGATCCTACTAAAATCAGAGTCTTTTGCTGGGGTAAAGGAGCATATCTCAACTTCAAGGATCTCAGCCCACCTTCACACTTTAAAGCACAGAAGTGTGAATCAGAGAGGAGTTTCCTGCTCTGGGATCCATGGAACCGACCAGCATATAAGCTCCATGATGGCAGGAATTTATCTATCCTGTTTACTGCTATATCCCTGCACCTAGACTCTGTCACATAATCGTTGTTCAATAAATCTTTTTTGGAATAAAACAAATAAATGGAAACATTAAAATATCCTTGTGCACACTCTGTGTGTGTACATTTGTGCTTTTTCTCTGGGGAAATGACCATAGCTTTTCTTCAGCTTCTCAAAGGGAAATGTAAGCCCCAAACAGGTGAAGAATTATGGAATTAGGGCTTAACAAAGAGATACTAGTTAATAGTTCGTAGAGCACTTCAAGCACATGACATATGGATATGGGGAGATTTTGTAAAGGGGATCAGAACCCTCACATACCTTTCAAAGCTTCATTGATGTAGGTTTTATGGTAAAATATCCTATCAGTGTCCTCCAATTCTGTATTTGCCAGCCCCACTCCATTTTCGGTAATGTAAATGGGGATGTCACCATACTGTTCTCTGATCCAATTCAGCAGTCTTCGTGTCCCCCACGGCACAGCTCTGTTCATGGCCGTGGAAGGCCATGAAAGGTCCTCCTCGCCTATCTCCTGGTCATCTTCATAGGAAGGTGGGTTTAGGTTGGGCGTTTTATGCTGCACGATCCTAGAGGAGTAGGTGTTGAGGCAGAAGACGTCGGCCGTGGCCCTAATGTACCTCTTCTCTTCCTCAGTGAAGCTTGGCAGGCAGGAGGTGGTCAGCTGTTGTAATTCACTCCTATTCCCCACTTTCCACTTCACGGCATCGGGATAGTCTCCATTTCTGAAGATGGGGTGGGCAAACCAGCCCATGGAGAACTGGAGCATTCGGTCAGCTGCTTCCACGTCTCTCGGGACCCCTGGCGACTTGGGCTCTGCCCAGTGTGTACTGAGGCTCAATGAAATCACCCCCTTCTGCTGCTGCCTATACTTCTCAGCGTAAGTGTGATAGACTCTGGCATGAGCTTTGATGACAGCATGGGCAACCCTATAAGGGGCCCAGCCTGGGTCCTTCACCTTTGGAGGAAATTCCCCTGAGCCATAACCCAACCATGCCTGGTACATGGGCTCATTAAAGGTCATCCAGAACTTGACTCTGTCACCAAAGTTCTGGAAACAAAAGTCCGCATAGCTGTCAAACAACTCAATCAAGGAAGGATTATCCCAACCTCCAATATCCTGGAGGGCTTGTGGCAGGTCCCAGTGGAATAGTGTCACCATGGGAAAGATGTTACTTGCCACCAAGCCATTGATCAACCTGTTGTAATAATCGACACCGTGACTGTTGATAGAACTGCTTCTCCCAGTTGGGAAAATCCGAGACCAGGAGAGAGAAAATCGATAGGCCTTCACCTTCAAAGCTCGGAGCATATTCAGATCGGCATCCAGTTGGTTATAGCTGTCACAGGCTATGTCTCCAGTGGCATTGTCTTCCACATTGTTCCCTGGTGTGTGCGTAAAGTTATCCCAAATACTGGGGCCTTTGCCATCGGCATTCCAAGCTCCTTCAACCTGATAGGCTGAAGAGGATACACCCCACAGAAAGTCATCCTGAAACGTGCCGTGGTAGAACAAATCTCTTTCAAACTCGGGTTGGTTTGAGAACTTTTCCCAAACTACTTTAGCCTTGGAGGGCACCTCAGATGGAAAAGCGAAGGCTCTAATTTTGGGGCGGACATCTGGCGTAATAGCTGGTGGCAGCCTATTTACTACTTTAGTGAGGAAACCGTTCTTTTCAATGATGCTGGTGAAAAAGTAGGCAGATCTCCTGGGAGTCCTTGGCTTGCTGCTGTCGTTAAAGTTGATGTAGTACAGCCCAAATCTCTGACTGTAGCCAGAGGGGCCTTCAAAGCCATCAATGAAGGAACGAACAATGTAAGAAAGAACATTCACCGAGTCTTCCTTGATAGCTGTGAAGAAAAAGAAAAATTTGGGTTATTTTAAAGTCTGTTATTGTGGTTACTTTTAAAAAGTTTTCCTTTTGACAAAGTTTTGGAGGTGACGTGGGCTAACCAAAAAAAGTTAACTCCTTTCTTCCCTTCAGAATGAATAGAAGGAAAATCCACAAGACCACCCACAAGACATCAGACCACTTCTATGGCTGTAAATCTTAATCCAAAGGAGCTCCTTGTCTTATAATGAATCAAAACAAGAATATACCCCATTGGCTAGCATCAGGACTCCTTGTTTTTTTTGTAGGATACACAAATCATTTAAACTTTTAAAAATGTATTTTTATTTCTCCTCATTTACATTTAATAATATTGACATAAAATGATCACATATTCCATGTTAAATAAGAGAAATAAATTTCAAAGAAATGTATCTCCTGACTCATCTCAATTTCCCACACAACAGTCTAGTGAGTCAACCAAGAATGAGAGCCAAAATATGGCAATGGCTGTGGGCTCCAATTTGGGGCCAGTAAGGTGTTAAGTCTTGTTTGTATCGGACTCCACAGCCTCTCAACAAATATATTGATTGTATAAAAGGTGGGTAAAGTTGCTCATTCATTCAATCAGTAATTGATAAAGCACTACTTGTTCCAGGCCTATGCTAGGCCCTGGGGATACGAAGATGAATAAATGTTTCATAGCTTAGTGGGTGGAGGGGAGAAATGAGCCAGAAATAGAAAGGCTTATGGTTCCGACCTTGGGTTCTGCACTCACTGAGTCACTTAATCTCTCAGAGCTTCACTTTTTGCAGTTCTCCCCTGAAGATAATGCCTGCCCCAATTTACTGTAAAGGGCTGTTTCCAGGATCACATGTGACACTGTCTTGAAGGGTTTCAAAGATAAGGAAGATGACAGAATTGTAACCTTGATAATGAGAAGAGTACAAGTAGAAGAGAGGCTCTGACCTCACGGACAGGGCTGGCAAGTACGTGGGATGTGTGTCTCCATTCCTTGTTTCAGTGCCCATGGCAGGCATCACTAGTCAACTTTCTCTCTAAATTTAGACAAGGCCTTGAAAGCTTCTCAACAAGCTCTCGGCAGATGGCTAATCACTATCAATTGATTAGGACTGACATATGAGATAAAACCTATTTGCCATCCCTTTTTACTTGGAATAAAAAGACATATGAAACAGAATGTTAGGTAAGAATGAGACTGTAGATATTGATAAACTGTATTAGAATTAATGATGTGGAACATAAATTTTATAGCCATTTAAAGGAGATGGAGCTCAATATGGCTGGAGCAATGAGGGAAGATTTTATTGGTTAGAGTCCCATTGCAAGTGTCCTCATTCCATCCTGTAATGCCCTTATCACCCTATATTGTAAGTGACTGTGTCCCTCTGTAGACTGTGAGTTCCCTATGTAAAAGGACAATGTTTGCTCTGTATTACCCCTAGTGTCTTGTACAATGTCTGGCACATAATAGGCATTCGATAAATGGGTAGGACTCAGAAGGACAGACAGTTAGAAAGGAGGCCACCTAGGAAACAAGAACACAGGGGTACAGATATGAGAGAGTTAGACTGATATGAAGGACTACTGCTGTTACCACCAATACTACTTTTTGGCTTCATTTCCTTGGGAGACTGTCTTTGTTCCTTTAAGCAAAATTCTGAAGGCTTGGAGGAGAAGTATCACCCATCTTCCAGTCACCAGCACCTCTCCAGTGACTTACCTTTGAGCACCTCATTGATATACTGACTGAAGTAGTCTACTCTCAAGGAGTCATTACAGGGATTTTTACTTTCGTCTATGGGCATGCCATTCCCAGCCAGGTAGATTGGAACGTTTCCTCTTGCGTATTCCAAGGATACAAACTTCAACAGCCTCCTTATACCCCAGGGCACCACACGAATCCAGGGGGATGAAGTCCGAGGCCATGCAGGGTCCGCATGTTGGGAGAAGCCTCCGATGGTATCATAGCTGGGGATGCAGGTGTTTTGTTGGGCACCACTGATGAGGTGGGAGGTGTAATGGGACAGACCCAGAAAGTCAGCTGATCCTTTCAGCAATTGCTTCTCTGCCTCAGTGAACTCAGGGAGCTGGGCCACAGGGCTTGGGCACTGTTCGTTCATCTGTTGGATCTGGGCTCTCAGGGCTGCTGGGTAGTCACCATCCACAAAGATGGGGTGTGCAAACCAGCCCAGCATGAAGTGCAAGAAGTGCTCAGAGGCCCTCAGGTCCTCGGGCCTCTCTGGGGACAGAGGCTCTGCCCAGTCTGAGTTCAGCACAATGCCCACACGCCCCTGCTGCTGCAGGCGATGGTGGCTGTTGTAGTGATGCCAAGCTCTGGCATGAGCCTTGAGGACCAAGTGAGCTACCTTGTTAGGAATAAGGAAGGAAATACAGTACTTAGTAACAATAACAACAACATCAACAAGTCAACACCAATGTTAATAACAACATCAACAAGAAGTCAACACTGATATTAACAACATCAAGTCAACACCAATGTTGACAACATCAACAAGCAGTCAGCAAGTCAACAGCAACATCAATAAGTTAACACTGATGTCAACAATGTTGACAAGTCAAGGACATTGATGTCAACATCAACACCAACGTTTGCAATATCAACAAGACAACAATGTCAACAACATGGACAAGTCAATGACTATATCAACAAGGTTGACAGTAACAACTAACAGATATTGAGCACCTACTGCTTAATGAATTTTCTCATGTAATCCTCAGAAGGAGCTTACATGGAAGGTACAATTATTATTACTACTTTACAGATAAGGAAAACAAGAGCCAGAGAGGTATAATAACTTGCTACACTGTGGTCAGTAAGGGATAGAGTGAGAATATAAAACAAAGGCAGTCTGAATCCAGGCCTGTATTGTCACCCACAATGCTCTTCTGCCTCCGTCCTCAATAAATGCTTACTAACCACTTAGTCCATAAGAGGAAATTATTTTAATTAACCCACAAGGGCGAGGACCACTCTTTCTAATCTATCTGTTCTCCTTTCTACTTAATGAAATTTAAGAAGAATAACCATAACCAGCAATTTCTTTGTAGATTTAATTTATGGTCATACAAAAGTCAACAGCTTTCCTTGGTAAAGCATCATGGGAACATAGTGATAAAGAGGGGATGTCTAGAGTATACCAAGCCTAGACTTGAATCTTGGCTCTGCCACTAACTTGCTCTGTCAACTTAGCCGAACTTCTCTCTCAATTTCAGCTTCCTTGTCTATAAGAAGGGGGTAATTATGGATCCATCTGGGAGGATTAAATAAAATACACATATATAAAGCAGCAAAAAATAAACAAACAAACAAACAAAAAAACCCCGGAGTAGAGGAGGAAGCTTGCTAAATCTTAGCTCCCTTTCCTTTTTCCTTTTTATCATCTGAAGATGTTAACACTTGACTTTTGAAGAATTTCATACTAAAATACGCCCGCAGGAAGTGAAACTCTTGGCTGTTTCTTGTGTCCCGTATGTTAGTTCTTAACTGGGTCTTAACCTCCAATGGCAAACTGTGCTCCTTTCCAAAAGGCAGCAGTGTTTCCTGCCAAAACTGTCAGAGCCAGGCAGGGTACTCAACAGAATATTACACAACCATCAGAAACAATCATTGTGACCATGTAATAACATGGAAAAGTGTTAACAACACAATGTCAAGTAAAACATGAGCACGAAACTGCATGTCACTGTGACTATGCTATGAATACAAAGAAGCGAAGACTGGAAAGAAGTGCTGGTAGAATTATGAGGGGAATCTTTTCTTTGAAAAATTTCCCCAATGGTATTATCATATTTTAACCAATAAATAAAAACAAGAGTTGATGGAGAAGAGTGGAGGAACTTCCTTTCAAAGTTTCTCTAAGAAAAAGATCCCAGGAGCCACAGTTCAAAAGGATATACGAACCCTAAGAAGAAAAGGTTTGGATGAGTTTTACAAGGAGTGTGTTAAATGGCACCTGACCATCCTCAATTCTATATTGTTCCCAGTGGTGAGGGAACGGGGTCCTTTGCCTGCAGCACAAGAGGGGTGTATGCAAACTATTTCCCTACACTGGCTGCTGAGCAAGACCTACTGGCTATGAGGGACTGTGGGTCACTATTGAAACTGACCTTGCTCTGTCTCTTTTCTCTGTGAGTAAAACATTGTTCCATCTAGTTCCTGTGTGTGAGTCATCCTTTCTCAGAGACGCCAGCACCTGCAAACTATGGAGTGGATTACTATTCTCCATGTGATGAGATGCCTCTCCTAGAGGTGGTAACAGGTGTCACTTGTTCAACAAGAACAGAACCCAAAGTATGGCAGGGGAGAGCCAGACTAACAGGTCTTTTCTAAAGAATGTTGCCGGGGAAAGCTGATGGGTCTTCTGAGAGGCTTTGAAGAGAAGGAAATAAATGGAAAGGACCCATGCTAAGCTATTTTTAATTTTATCCCCCTCCCCCCCACACACCCATTTCTTGTTGAAATAATACCCTGATTGCTCTCTGGGAAGCCAGCCCCTCCTCTGTCTCCTCAAACAGTGTGTTGAGGGGTAGATGTGAGACCCACTCAGAAACTAGGAGACACAGGGTGACTTTTGCTAGGAATGCCAGAATGGAAGTCAGCTTTCTTTCCTGCAAGTCTTTAAATATGAAAGTGGGGTTACTACCATTGCTGTCATCTGGCTACCAAGTAGTCGAAGAATAAAGCCAATGAGGGAAACAAGGTTAGGGAGAAAAAGTTGTATTCTGGTGACATTGTTGATGCTCTAATCAAGCTCCACCCTGATCAAGCTACAACCAAGATTTTTCAGTGTTCTGCACTAACAAATTTCCTCCTTTCTTATATCAGTTTGGGTTGGGTTTTCTGTCGTTTGCAACTAAGAGTCCTTGCTAACACTCAGCACTTGCTTTGGAGTCAAGCAGACTTGGGCCCAAATCCTAGCTTCAGCCTGCCAACCACTCACAATGTCATCGTGGCCCAATTGTTTGTCCTCTCTGAACTCCAGTTCCCTCCCCCATCAGTGCTGCTCTGGAGGTGTCATAACTATGTTTAAAGTGCCAGCACAGTGTCTGCACAAAATAGGTGATTAACAATTTATGATTCCTTCCTTCCCTTTGATTTTCTTTAAAGGACAAAAAAGCAAAGTCTCGCTGATGAGAAGGAGACAGAGCCTTCTCTAATTAGCAGGAGTTGTGGAGATCGGAATACCTTAAAAGAGGCCACTCCTGGGTCGGAGATGCCAGGTGCATGTTGGCCAGTACCATAACCTGCGTAGCTCATCACCCATGGCTCGTGGAAGGTCACCCACAGCTTCACACGGTCTCCAAAAGTGGAGAAGCAGAAGGCTGCGTAGTCCACGAAGGCATCCACCACACTCTCGTTCTGCCACCCACCGCTATCCTGCAGGGCCTGGGGCAGGTCCCAGTGGAACAGGGTCACCATGGGTTCAATGTGAGAGTCCAGAAGGCTGTCGATCAGCTTGTTGTAGTAGGCGACACCACGGGGGCTGGGACGGCTGCTGCGCCAGTAGGGAAGACTCGGGACCAGGAGATGGAAAATTTGTAGACCTGAGCCCGGAGGCCTCGAAGCAGGGCCACGTCAGAGTCCACCTTGTGGTAACTGTCACTGGCCACCTCTGGTGTTGCTTGGCCCTCGGCAGCTTTCTGGTGTCCATATTGGTCCCAGACGCTTGGGCCCCTTCCATCTTCAGCCCAGCCTCCTTCCACATTAAAGGCTCCTGTGGAGACTCCCCAGAGAAAGCCTTCAGGAAAATCATCCTGCAGGAAAGCATCCTGCTCTGCTCTGGATTGGTTCACAAACATTTCCCAGACCCTCTGGTAGGCAGAGACAGGGGAAGAGGAGCCAACTGCGGTTCTGCTGTCCTGTTGCTGGTTAGACTGAAGGGTCAGGTTGTTAATCAGAGAACACGACCTGCTGCTGCAGGATCGAAATGACATAAAGGGACATAATAATTAATGACTCTGTGAGCTACAAATGCCCCAATACTGAGGATACTATGTGTTCAATCTGTAAAGATTCCAGAAACACTGCCTTGAGAGCCATGTCCACAAAGCTATGGCCAGGAAGGGACTGGTAGATGGGAAAATTTTTATTATTACCTTTTTAGGTAAGTTATTATTACTCTTGCATGAGTAAAACATTGTAATAATGCCACAGTTGTTCTGGTGACATACTTTGTTTTTATTATAATTTATTATTTATAAAATATAATTTTATACAATTCATAATAATAATTATATAAGTATAATTATATAAGTATATAAATGTAATTATAATAATAATGTTGTTGTTGTTAGGGGCTGTCAAGTCGATTTCAACTCACAGTGACCCATGTGACAGAGTAGAACTGCCCCATAGTGTTCCTATGGCTGTAATCTTTACAGAAGCCAATTGCCAGGCCTTTCTCCTATAGAGCTGCTGGTTGGATTCGAACCGCCAACTTTTTGGTTAGTGCTTAACCATTTGCGCCACCAGGACTCCTTAATAATAAGGATGGCTCTGATTTATTGAACTTCTATTCTGTGCTGACCACTGTGATAAGAATTCATGTGTATTACTTCATTTTCACAGCAAATTTATAGATAGGTATTCTTATTCTACAGAGAAAGAGAGACTTAAAGAAATTAGTAACTTTTTCAGACAGCTTGCAAGTGGTGGAGCACAGAGCTTGTGCTTTTAACCACTACATGTATGTGTAGATGTGCGGATGTTCATGCGTGTGTGTGTGTGTGTGTGTGTGTGTGTGTGTGTACAACTGAATCAAAAGTTTCACATAAAAGTACTAATTCTCACTACATGCAATGCACTCTTGTATTTTCTATTTTATTCTAGCGCTTTTCTCTTTCTCTTTCTCCCCTTCTTTCCTTCCTTCCTGCCTAGTTTATTCATTTTTAAAATGTGGTTACGAACCTCTAAACAGTGGTTGGAAAGCTTCACCACAAGATGCTGAAAATTACACCCAGCAGAGGGCAACCCTGAGGAGGAGCTGACAGTAGTGGGCTTGTTTTGTTTGGAGAAGAGAACACGTGGGGGAAAAACGAGGTGAAGTACAAAATTGTCTGTCTCCCTGTCCGCGGGCCGTCAGCAGAGCAGGATGACATGCATGCCGGGGTGGCCTAGGGTGCAGAACTGGTCTAAATGACGGAGAAGCAGAGACCTCGGGCAAGTTACCTGGCTTCCCTGTGCCTCAGTTTGATCAAATCAAAAATAGGGATTATGATTGTTACCTGCCTCAGAGTTGCCATGAGCACTAAATGCATTAGTCTCCTGAGCGTAACACAAGCACTTGCTGTTATTGCTGTTCTGACGATGATGATTACTCTTATTATTGCTTCATCAGCACACAGGAAAACAACAGTGTAACAACTCGAGCTGTTTACACACAGAAGGCACTACTGAGATGCTGGAAGTTCTGAAGCACAGGCAGGAGGCCTCTGTGACAGGGACACTGCAGAGGGACCCGGGATGAGTCGGCCCTGCAAGGGGCACCTTCCACATCTATTTCCTGTTCTACTGGCATCAACTCACCCACATTTGCCGGTGCAGAGGTGAAGAGGGGAATGATGATCTAAGGTTGTGTATTATCCAAGACATACGCATGACTAGAGCACGACCAGGGACGTCAGGAGGCGCCCCCTCACTCTGACCCACCCCCACTGCTCCTGACCCCAGCTCTGTTCTCCTGGCTTGGATGAAAAGAGGACAGAGGAAACAAATAAACCACCCCTGGGTAGATTAGAACTTGCTGTACAAGTTTCAGAGCTGGGAGCCCTGGGTTTGCCTAACTTGAGAAGGATTTAGCAGCCCAGAACCTCAATCACTATGACTGGTCTTTTCAGCTAACCTCTCCACAGTAAGCCACCCTGGGCATCCCAGACAATGTTCTTTTCACCCTCCTCTGGGGGCTCGGTGCTGTTTGTCTCCTGCCACACTGTGTTAGAGGTTTAAGATTCTCAAGGGAGAAAGCCATGTTATCTTCTCTGAGCCCCCTCCACCTGACCCCCATACCAGGCAGGTCCTCCATCAATGCTCACCTGAGTAAGGACCGCCCTCCCCACTGTCAGTGTAATGCAAGCCAATGTTAGACCTTGGCTTCAGGCAAAGTACCACCAGGTCAGGGTATTAGAGAGAGACAGTATATCATCTCATGGTTTTGTAATCTTTGACCTCTCAGGGGAGCCATTTTATTATGGCTGCCTAACTTTTCTTTTCAGAAAAGACATAAGCCCAGTACTACCTGGCTGACTCAAGAGTAGTCACCAAGCAGTTCTGACCTATCTATTCATCACAGTATTCACATCACCAGCCAGAGCATGACATACAGCTGTGACTGCACGTCTGTTGATTTGAACTGTTGACTTGAAGTGAGTTGAGAGAATTGAACAGTAGAAGGAGTTTTTGGCTCAGGACAGCCGAGGGCTGAAGAGAAAATGTACACGGGGTGGTGACAACAGAAGTTTATAACCCAGGGCAGAGCTGTGTTAGAAATGTCTGAGGCAAATGACAAAGACAGCTCTGGTCAAAGGTCTGGGAAGCCAAATAATTGCCTTCCAGCCTCTGTCCTACCTCGAGTGGGTAGCACATGCCCGTGGGATGCCAACAGCTCTGGATGGTTCCAACATGCTCGAGAGGCACATAGGAATGTGCGTGTGTGAGAGATGTAATTATAGGAACAGTCTCAAATCTGTTGATTTATTATTATTTGAAGTAAATCATTTACAGACTTTGGTCCTTTAGTCACCTGGTGAGAAATTATTTGCAGCCCCACCACAATTTAAAACCTATGCCCTGAGAACACTGTTGAGTTAGGTTCTGCACAGCTGCAACAGCTGGCGTTCCAAGCTTGTTGTCTCCTCGTGGAGTAGACGCTTCACAGTTTACATTCAGGAAATAGGTGCAGAGAATTCACTTCACTTACTCAGATTACATAACTTCAGTAAGACGGTCTCAACTCTTTAACCTGGCTCCCTCTTCCACAAGCTCACACTGTCTCTGACAAGATCTTAAATCCCAGCTCTGCACTTGGGCGAACTACAAGGCAGCACAGAGGAAGGTGAAAATGCCAACCCTATGCGGGGCCCCAAGTTTAAGACTCAGGGAGAGATGGGTTCTCTCTGCTATCCCCTCTGGAGCCCTGGTGGTGCAGTGGTTAAGCATCTGGCTGCTAACCTAAAGGTCGGCAGTTCAAATACACCAGCCGTTCCGTGGAAACCCTATAGTGCAGTTTAACTCTATTGTACAGGGTTGCTATGAGTTGGAATCGACTTCACGGTAATGGGTTTGGTTTTTGGTTTGGCTCTCCCCTCTGAGCCCAGTCTTTCATCCATCCAATGGCCATAATAAACTCACTGCCCCAGAGGTGCATAATAACAGTTCCATGAGATTATATACATGAAAGAACAGCAGAGTAATTTACAAATACCAGTTATTAACAGTTCAGCAGAAAACCTAACATTACCTTTTCATGGAACTTGATGTACAGTTCAGGAATGCATTAATATCAAATCCAATGATGAGCACTTGGTCTTTATTTATGGCTGGAAGAGAGGAAGTTTAACTCGACCTGAAGCCCAACCGAGATCCTGCGTGCCTGCAGTCAGAGGTTCTCCTCACTTAAACAGCACACTCAAACTCAGTGGTTCCAAGTCCCTCTGGAAGATACCATTTCCTTCATGGGCTAAAGATTTAAGGAGGGCAGAAGTTAATTTCTACCTAGTTATGGCTTCTTAGAGCAGTCTGGGCTAAGGTTAGTGAAGCCTAGTCCACAGGGTGGGAAGGGTTACAGGTGGTAGAAAGGGCACCACGGACTTCTGCTCCACTCTCCGACCTTCCCAGGTGACTGGACTGAAGATCAGGGCACTCAAGAATGTCTTAAGGGGACTTCCCTCCATCCTTTCCTTCGGATTCTGTAGTGTCTTGGCCCCCAGCCCCGATACCTTAACAGAACAGACTCCACTCCTCCTCTGACTTGATTGGGCCAGAAGGATCCTCCTGATCCATGGCCAACCAATCAGATTCACTCTCAAGAATCTAAGAGGCACTGAGAAGGAGGTTTGTGAGTTGAAGGTTCTTAGCGTCTTGATCAAAGTGCCAGGGCCACGTGCAAGCTGAAGCAATGGGGAAGTAGAACATGTGTAAGCAGAGAGAGCTGTCAAGGGGGAGAGAGACACCAGGCAGCCCTGTCGAGGGGGGCAGAAATAGGAGATGTTGGGGGAGGGGGCACTGAAGGGGGACAGACAGGAGAAGAGCAGTTGTCATATGTACAACTGACAACCGAGGCTTGCCTTTTTATTTCCACAAGCAATAGGCACCCATATGCGGACCCTTGCCTCTTTCTTCGAACCACGGGAGCTGGTTGCAAGGGACCATCAGTGAGAAGACAGGGGACACCGACCCTCATGTGGAGTAGGCTCTCAGACCAACCCTCCTCGCCTCTCTCCACCCCCAACACCCATTGGAATCTCCGACTTTCAAGACTGCTACCCACCGACCTACACCACATGCCACTCAAAACCTCTCCCGGATGGTCCACTCACCTTCTATCAGGCTGAAGAGCAGCGTGGCGGTCCTAAAGGAGGAGCAGTTCTGGAGTTTTAGGTTGAAGATGAAAACTTTCACTTTGGGCTTAATGGTCTAAAAAAGATAAAGGTCAGCAAGTGAGCCGGGGCTGTCTGGAACCTGTTTTTTGAAAACAAGGATAAATGTCCATGATGAGAAGCTACAGACACTCAACCTGGCTTTGGAAATGGCCTCTGAGCATCTTGAGTTAATAAAGGGAACTGACTGACTGTAGACTTTGAAGAAAAAAGAGCTACACTTTTCAATAACATAGGTCACCTTCATCACCCACCCCCACAAGGGGACATGTTCACCTATTCCTTCATCTCAGGTTTTAAAAGCACCTCTTACAGCCAGGTATGTGTTATGATCACGAACAAGGCAGTTTACTCACATCAGGAGCCTGTATTACTAAAAGAAGCTTAAGCAAGACACCATCATCACAATATTTATGGAGGAAACGATACAATGTCTGGGGTTTGCTTCAAAATATTCCAATTTGGGGGCAGGGGGATAGGAATACAGATGAAATAAAATCAGCCACCAGTTGACAGCTTTTGAGGCTGGAGATGGCTTCATAGGGGTTCATTATCCTTTTCTCTCTACTTGTGGGTATGTCTGAACTTTTCCATAACAAAAAGTTAAAGAGGAAAGCAGCTATCTTCATTACAATGTGAGCAGGTACAATCCCTCCCTCACTCGCAGCTCCCATTTCTAGACAATTCAGTGTCAAGGGAGGCATGGCTGACATGCTATTTGACTTTATTTCAAATTACCTTTTTTGGAGGGAGGGAGGGAGGTCATTTTTCCCATGCTAACTTTTTCCTGCTCTGAACAGTTAAAAGCTACTAAGAGATAACAATAGCAATTACTTTAAAAGTTTTTAAATTTCTCATAGTCGCCTAACGCATTCTCTTTTGCTGTATATATTCTTACAGATGAGGCGTCTGGAGTTCTGAGAAGCTGAGTAAGTTGCCCATGACGACCACGCAGTTGGTGGAGCTGCAAGTCTACCCAGCCTTGCTCTTTCCCTGTGCTAGGACAATGCCTGAGACCCAAACTATCAAGGTGGCCTCTTAGGCACTTTTCTTTCCTGAAAGATCAAAAAGCCACGGAGGCAGCCCGTGAGACCACAGATCTGGAGAAGCTAGAGGAAGAGGCCATCATCCCACCCTCTGCGTGTTGAGGAATTCCCGGTGTGAGCAGAGCTCTATCTGATGAATTGGACGTTGGACCACACTCATGTACTTTCTGCAGAGTTCAGAACCTGTGGATGTGCCAGGTCCTAAGATACCCGGGTGCTGGCAGGGAGTGGCAGCAGAGGCCACCTGAGGTTCACAGAGAGGTGGATGCAGGTGTCCTGGGTAGAGTGGAGGGGAAGGGGCCAGATGCCCTCGTAGCCCACGGGAAGAGGCCGCTTCAACAAGAATGGGGAAGGGGGAGAGCTGGGAAGAGGAGGAAGGAGGAATTGGGAAGGAAGGCATGGACAGCAGGATTCAGGCACCAGTGGGCACAACTCAGCCCCTCTCTTCAGAAGAACTCAGCTGCTCTTCCTGTCCTGGGTGTGGAGGCAGGGTGGGAAGTGCTATCAAGGACTAAGTATGGCCCCAAAAGGACGTCTCCTCTGCAGCTCAGGTGGCCGTGTGGGTGCTCTTTTCAAGGGCTGCTGGGCCACAGCTGTAATTCTGAATCTTTGGGGCTGCATCAGAGCCATCAACATCTGGAGCTGAATTTCTACGCAAGGAAACGAAAGGGGTAAAGAACCACTGCCGGATATTGTAAATGGCTGCTGAGCTTGACCGTGAGAAGTTTCACTGGCCAGCTGTGGACTTAAGGGTTCACAGCTTTATTGACACTAGTGGGACTAAGTTTTCTTGAACACATTTTGATGTAAAAGGGAAACACTATAAGCTACACCCCAAGCACAAATCATGCCAATTTCCCTGATGGCTGTCTCTCTGAAGCATGTCAGATCTGCGTAACTGAGATGGTTTCAAACTGTCAGCAGTGTCTGAACTCATTAGCTTAGTAACAAGCCCCGCTTAATTTCTCAAGGAGGACAAAAGACAGGCTTTGATGACTCAGGCATAAGCAGGCCTTAAAGACATTATAATGCTGTTTAAGGCCCAGAAATCTCATCAGCAAGCCTATACATGTAGACTCTGAGTTGTAAGGAAGTTTGGGTTCAGGTGAGAAGGTGGCTACAAAATAAAATCATGCGTGATTTTAAAAATGCCACCCTCGTCATAAAAATACATTGAATGTATTTTTATTTTGGGAGAGGCAGCGTGGTGTCTTAGAATGAGAAAGCCTTGGTTCAAATTCCATTGGCACTCCCCAGAGTCTGATGCTCATTACGTTTCTTAAACCTTGAGTTGCACTGTGAAGGTTAGAGATAATGGGAGGATAAAGTGCCTAATAGTGCCTGGCGTATGGCAAGCAATAAAATCATAGTTGTTGTTAGGTGCTGTTGAATCAATTTTTGATTCATAGCAACCACGTGTGCAGAGTAGAACTGCCCCACAGTGTTTCCTGGGCTGTAATCTTCATGGGAGCAGATCACCAGGTCTTTCTCCCGAGGAGCGGCTGGGTAGGTTTTCACCGCCAACCTTTTGGTTAGCAGCCAAGCACTTAACTGTTGCACCACCATATTTCCTTAATAGGAAGAGGATATGGAATGTGTAGCTAATTGCCTCCATGAACAACTGCCTCCTTTGCCATGAGACCAGAAGAATTGGATGTTGCCCAGCTACTATTACTAAACATTTTGGTCAAAGATTCTATAGAAGGATCCTGATCAAAAGGGGGAAAATACAGAACAGAATTTAAAATTGTCATGGACACCAGACTTTCTAAAGCTATGGAAGCTGGATGAACCCCTGAAACTATTGCCCTGAGAAAATCTTTAAACCTTAAACCAGAAATATTTCTCAAAATCTTCTTAAAATCAAACAATAGTTTAGCTTCACTAGTAAAGAAAGTCTACCTTGAGCATTGTGCTGTTTTAAGATCTATCTATATGGGATCAAACTGACAACAGCAACTCAAGATAGGAACTTTAGGGGGCAGTGAGTTTATGTTAATGAGGGAGGAATGACTCAAAAAAGGAGGGCAAGAATGATTACACAACTCAAAGAATGTAATCAATGTCACTGAATTGTACATGAGAAACTGTTGAATTGGTATGTTTTGCTGTGTATATTCTCAACAACAGAACAAATTAAAAATTTTTTAAAAATTGGAGTCCCTGGGTAGTCCAAAAGGAGCTCTGGTGGTGCAGTGGTTAAAGCTATGGAGTGCTAACCAAAAGGTCGGTGGTTTGAAACCACCAGTGGCTCTGCAGGAGAAAGAAGTGGCAGTCTGCTCCAGTAGAAGTTTACAGCCTTGGAAACCTTATGGGGTTGCTAGGAGTGGGAACTGACTCCATGGCAGTGGGTTTCGTTGGTTTGGTGGGTAGTACAAACCATCAATGCACTTGGCTATGCACTGAAAGGTTGGAGGTTTGAGTTCACCCACAGGTGCCTAAGAAGGCAGGCCTGGTGATCTCCTTCTGAAAGATCAGCCATTGAAAATCCTATGGAACACAGTTCTACTCTGACTCATATGGGGTCGCCATGAATTGAATCAGCTCCACAGCATCTGGTTTATGATCTGTAGACAACAAAAGCAATGGAATCTACATGCGTCAGCTGGAAACACTCAGTCGTTGGAACTGGACCAATGCTAATTTGTCCATTTCAAGTCTCCTGCCTCAGGTAAGAAAGAGGTTCCACCTATTTGAAGCCATGCGGATTTGACATTAATGAGCTTGAACTTGAAATGGATACTTCCTCTGACTGACCATCCTCCTTGGTGACTGGAGGTGGTGGGATTCCAGACAAGGAGGCCTCCACTTATGGCTGCTCTGCCTGACTCCTTGTGGGCACAGCGGTGAAAACAGAGGGGAGTGGCTATGTTCCCAAACCTGCCGAGGCAAGAGGTGAAACACGGATGGATTCTGGTGGCCAGACATCCATGGAGAGTTCCTCAGGGTTGAGCAGAGGAATACTCCTGGGACTTGGAAGGTCTGGAGAGAAACCACCAGTTATTCACTTTTACCCAGGCAGGAGACAGAGATAGTCGAGACTCCAGGGAATTAAGTAAATCAGTCTCACTTTGGTGACCAAGCCTAAGAGAGAAGCCTAACAGTTGGGTTGTGGTATGCTCTCAAGTCGATTCTGACTCATAGTGACTTTGTAGGACAGAATATAGAGTTTCCTAGGCTGAAATCTTTACAGGAGCAGATCACCAGGTCTTCTCTCCCGCGGAGTGGCTCTTGGTAGGTTTGAACTACCAGACCTTTTGTTAGGAGCTGAGTGCCTAACCATTGCAACACCAGGGCTCCTTAACAGTCGGGTAGGAGGCTCCTAACATACTTTCCATTGGGATGGGAGCTGGGTCAGAAACATTAGACCTGAGATAACAGTACTGGGTACAGCAAGGAGGGTCCTGAGGTTACAGGTCCCTGTCATGGATTGAATTATGTCCCCCCAAAAATGTGTGTATCAATTTGGCTGGGCCATGATTCCCAGAACTGTGTGGTTGGCCTCCATTTTGTGATTGTAATTTTATCTTAAAGAGGATTAGGGTGGGATTGTAACACCACCCTTACCCAGGTCACATCCCTGATCCAATGTAAAGGGAGCTTCCCCGGGGTGTGGCCTGCACCACCTTTTATCTCTCAAGACATAAAAGGAAAGGGAAGCAAGCAGAGAGGTGGGGACCTCACACCATCAAGAAAGCAGTGCCGGGAGCAGAGTGCATCCTTTGGACCGGGGTCCCTGTGCAGACAAGCTCCTAGTCCGGGGGAATACTGAAGAGAAGAAGGCCGACAGAGAGAAAAAACCTTCCCCTGGAGCTGATGCCCTGAATTTGCACTTTTAGCCTACTTGACTGTGAGGAAATAAACTTCTCTTCGTTAAAACCATCCACTTGTGGTATTTCTGTTATAGCAGCACTAGATGACTAAGACAGTCCCCATAGCTGGTTTCTGATTTGGTAGTCCTGGATGTGAAATGTCTTTTTAGAACTCAGAATGAACACTGGAATTTTTATTCTCAGTAAATTTCTACACAAGAGAGCAGAAGAACCATCTAAATATTTACCTTAATAAGATAATCCTCATTATCCTTTCTAGAAAAGACTGCCTAACACCCCAATATTCTCTAGCAATGCTTTGCACAGAAATCTCCCCAGATGCAAGTCAGCAGGTCTTCCGACTGTTGATGGAAGTTCAATTTATGCATTAGCCGCAACGTTAAATGTCTAATATGCACTCAGGGATGTTCGTCATTCATCGTCAATATGGAAAATGACTCAAATTACCTGCAATTTACTCAGCTGCTGTGATAAAGTCACCTCACTTTGGCATTCAGGGGACAAATCAAGAGAGAGGAAATCGACCGAGTCCTAGAAATAAGCAAATAGGGTCATTAAAGCATAAGCAATTTCTAGACAAAAAGCTGCTCAGAAGTGTTCATTGTTTCTCCCTTTATTACTAAATTGAGCCTTCCAAGGTGGGGATTTCCAATGGAAGAGCAGGCAAGGGAGAAGCTGGGACAAAGCAAGAATGTGGGGAGGAGGGTGCCTGCGTGTGTTAGGAATACATCATCTATATGCTCAGCAAATGCTTGGCACACAGTGAGCACTTAATAAATGTGTATGAGTGAATGAATGAGGTACTGTATAGCAGAAATGGTGAATTCCCACCCATGTAGAGGAGTGCTGAGTGAGGTGGTCAGAAGCCAGGGCTGCCTTGTGCTTTGCCAGGACCAGGCGGTGGAGCACTCAGCCACCCTTGAACTCCATGGTGATTGCTATGGACCCTAAGGGGTTTTTGGTTTTCGTTTTAATTTCAGGCCACAGTCATGGCTCCTTTCAGGCCGCAGTTCAAAGTTCACCACAGGGAGCCTTAGCCTGACCCATTCTGTTAGCTGAGAACATAACCCTCATAGTCTTGCTTATGAATAAACTTCTCTCTCCCATCTACTCTCCAAGGTGCCAAGAACTTCAGACTCAAACGTTTAAACTCATAAAGATATCACTGTGGTTCACTCACTGCTTCCCTCAACGGCTGGCTGCTCCATTTATATTCTTGTCAGGGTTAGATCATTGATGTCTCCCCCCTCAGGACAAGGACCATGGATAACAGCATGTGGTGAGGACTAAGTGCACTGTGGACCTTCAATAACTGACTCACCACTGGCTCCTTACCAAGTTATCATCAGTGTTTACTAAACACTCTACATGCTCCCTCTGCTTGTTCCACTCTGGCAGTACAACTTCAACCTTCCAGTCTTTGCCCCTTCAGCTCTTCCTTTTGTTTGTCAATTCAATGTAACACAAAGTCATTGAGTTCCTACTTTTGAAAGTCACTGTGCTGGATACTGCTGGGGATTCACATTTAAAGGTGAGTGAGATCCCTGTGTTCATTGCAGCACTTTCCACAATAGCCAAAATATGGAAACAACTGAAATGTCCATCAACAGAGATGAATGGAAAAGCAAAACGTGGCACATACATACAATAGAATATTACTCAGCCATAAAAAGAAATGAAGTCCTGATGCATGCCACAACATGGATAAACCTTGAGAACATTATGCTGCATGAAATCAGTCAGTCACCAAAGGACAAATACCGTATGAGCTCACTTACATGAAATGAGCAAATATATAGAAACTAAAGATTATTAGCAGTTACTAGGGATAGAAAGGAAGGGGGAATGGGGAGAGAGTTTTTGCTCAGGGGGCACTGAGTTTATGTTAATGGTTGGTGGAAAAATTTGGAAAAGGATAGTGATATTGATTGCACAACATGAAGAATGTAATCAATGTCACTGAATTATACATGTAGAAATTGTTGAATTGGCAAATGTTTTGTTGTGTATATTTTCACCACACACACACGTACACAAAATGAGTAGGATCCACAAAAGCTTACGATTTAATAGGGAGTGTTAGGTAAATACACCAATTACACTAAGAGAAGGCAGACAGTTAAAAGAGCTGTAAGAAAAGTCTAAACCAGTAGTTCTCAAACCTTGGTGGGGATTAGACTTACTTGGGAACTTGGAAGGACTATGAAGGCCCAAGCCTTTGCCTACCTCTCTCCGTATTAAGCCTTGGTCTCTTCGTTCTTAATTAGCTCTACAGGGGATTCCTGTATAGATCAAAGCGTGGGAACTGTTGGGCTAAACAAATGGCTATGGGGTTCCAAGTGGGGAAAGACCACGTGAGGTTGAGCAAGGAAGTATTATTAAGCAAGGCCTCTCGATGGAGAGCTCATTCACAACGGCATTAAAAAATGGGTAGAATTGTGTTAGAATATTTGAGGAAGGCCAGAAGGGGCAGGAGGGACATTGGGTAGGGAATGCAGGAGAGTAGAAAGACAGCATAGCATACATATGGGGGATAATAGGAGGTGAGGCCAGAGAGGAGAGCCCTGGGGAATTTATACCGATTCAGGGCAGTATACTTTTGGAAGATTAATCAAGAAGCATATAGAAGTGATTAGGGCAGAGAGACCAGTTCAAAGGCTATTGCTGGACAAGCAATTTTCTGGTCAGCACTTTGGTTTGCTGAGTAGACTTACCAGGAGGAACCTAAGTAGCTCACTGATAGCCCTTATCTCCCCTTGTAAATTAAGTGGCTTTCTGGCCCACAATCAGCCTTAGAGTTGGTTATCCAGAGCCTTATCACGCCTGGTTTAAATTCCTGAACTTGTAGTTCAGGATATGTGGACCCTTGTCACAGTGCAGACAGGATGAGCAGTGTGGGGTCTCCAACATACGTCAGTGTTGCAGACTACAGAAATCAGCTGGGGGTTTTCTGGTGTTTTCAACTCCTCCCAGAAGCCAGTGTTACTGGGCCACAGCTGTTCAATTCTCAGATTTTTTTCATTTTTATCTTTAAAAATATAGTTAAAAAGTTATAGTTAGAGGGGGAGAAACCAGGATCGGTACTCTAAAGAGCACATTTTAAAAACCCTTTACCCTAGTATCTGTTCTGCTATAAACTGACCTCTCCTTTCATAAGCTATTCTGGACTCCTCTAATCAAAAGTCAGAGCAACGGAGGCATTTGACTTCTTCATGTAGGCAAGCTGACACTTGGCCCAGCAAGAGCTGGGGACTACAGCAAATGATATTTTGTTTTTTGAAGTAATTAGGAATCTAGAGAATGTATACCATTCACAAGAGGCAATTTATAAAAATGTCAAGTCAACAGACAAAATTTCTCATTTTTGTAAAATTAAAATTGCAACTCTGCTCAGATGTTACAGATGCTATTTCCTGTGGCTCTCATCACCTTGGCAAGCGCAAACATGGATGGTTGTAGCAGGAACTCAGTGATCTCTTCAGCTGGTAGGACTATGGAGACCTTTCCACCTGAAACCAACCAGAGGACAGGCAGGTGAGGGGGAGGCTCTGACTGTGAAAGCCACTTGGGAATTCATTTCCTACCAACTTTTCTAAAGGGTCTTTGAAGAAATCACTCATGAATTTATCCCAGCTAAGAGTTTTTTGTTGTTGTTGTTGAGAATATACACAGCAGAACGTACACCAATTCAACCGTTTCTACATGTACTATTTAGTGACACTGATTACTTTAGAATTGTGCAGCCATTCTCACCCTCCTTTTCTGAGTTGTTTCTCCCTCACTAACATAAATTCACTGCCCCCTAAGGTTCCTATCTAATCTTTCGAGTTGCTGTTATCAGTTTGATCCCATATAGATAGTTCTTTGACTACACAAAGGCATTTGACTGTGTGGATCATAACAAATTATGGATAACATTGTGAAGAATAGGAATTCAGAACACTTAATTGTGTTCATGAGGAACCTGTACATAGATCAAGAGGCAGTTGTTCGAGCAGAACAAGGGGATCCTATATGGTTTAAAGTCAGAAAAAGTGTGAGTCAGGGTTGTATCTTTTCACCATACCTATTCAATCTGCATGCCAAGCAAATATAATCTGAGAAGCTGGACTATATGAAGAAGAATGGGGCATCAGGATTGGAGGAAGACTCATTAACAACCTGTGTTATGTAGATGACACAACCTTGCTTGCTGGAGGTGAAGAGGACTTGAAGCACTTACTGATGAAGATCAAGGACCACAGCCTTCCGTATGGATTGTACTTCAACACAAAGAAAACAAAAATCCTCACACCTGGACCAATAAGCGACATCATGATAAACAGAGAAAAGACTGAAGTTGCCAAGGATTTCATTTTACTTGGATCCACAATCAACGCCCATGGAAGCAACAGTCAACAAATCAAATGATGCATTGCATTGGGCAAATCTGCTGCAAAAGACCTCTTTAAAGTGTTCAAAAGCAAAGATGCCACTTTAAGGACTAAGGTGCACCTGACCCAGGCCATGGTGTTTTCAATCGCCTCATATGCTTGTGAAAGCTGGACAATAAATAAGGAAGACCGAGGAAGAATTGATGCCTTTGAATTGTGGTGTTGGCGAAGAATATTGAATATACCATGGACTGCCAAAACAGTGAACGAATCTGTCTTGGAAAAAGTACAGCCAGAGTGCTCCTTAGAGGCAAGGATGGTGAGACTTCTCTCACATATTTTGGACATGTTATCAGGAGGGACCAGTGCCTGGAGAAGGACATCATGCTTGGTAAAGTAGAGGGTCAATGAAAGAGAGGAAGACCCTCAAGGAGATGGAATGACACAGTGTCTGCAACAATGGGCTCAAGCATAACGATTGTGAGGATGGTGCAGGACCGGGCAGTGTTTCACTCTGTTGTACATAGGGTCTCTATGAGTTGGAACAGACTCAGCAGCACCTAACAACAACAACAGATAGTTCTTAAAAATAGCTGAGGGATCTTTGAAAACAAGTTGGCTCTTGACACAATAATGCCTCTTTAGAGAATGTTTCGTGTAAGTCAGGACTGTGAAATGCAGAACACTTGTAAAAGTCTTTTGGGAGAATAAAAGTCTCCCTGGCCTGCCACCAGCAATGTAAAAGGTGTAAGAAGAGAACCCCTCCTTCCTGCACTTGTTTTGACAGGCAGGGGTGCTCTCAGGAAGCTGCTGTGCCACAATCCTAATTCACTGTACAAGCATCAATTCAGCCCACACTGTACACTGAGGGGAAAACAGGAAATATAAACTGGTGCAGCTGGTACCCACTTCCTTTGACATTTGATCACATAAAGCAGTGGTTCTCAAACTTCTGTGTGCTGATCACCTGCAGTGCTGATTAAAATGCCAATTCCAGGCCCTGCCCTCAGCAGACCAGGGTGAGACGTGGAATGCACATTTTAATTTGGATGCGGGTGGTCTTCAGACCAAAAAGTTGAGGAACACTGCCTTGGAGATGGGATTTCTGAGTTGTTCTGCATTGTTATCTACTTCTTCAAGGTGCAAAAATCTTTGCCCACACTGGTTTGTACATTTCTTCAGGAGCAAAATTTATAAGTATTGAGCTTAGGACTGGGTGCAGAGAAATACTAAACAAAATTTGGAATACTAAATACTAAACAAATTTGGAAATACTAAACAAAAACAGAATATAGCCAGAACATGAGACGTACACTATAAGATGTTATGACTGACTCCTCATTCTATACAAGAGGAAGACGTCTCCAGCTAATGAAACCACCTAGAACAACTACCAGCTACCAAGAGTTTATTTTGACAAGCATAATGTAACTTTGAAATCTTCCATGCAGGGAACATCACCAGGAGATATTTAGTGCCCATTCTGATAAGATAGCGTTGTTTTTCTGGTTATTTAATGATAATACTGGTGGATGCATTTTATCTTCACTGATTCTCAATATTCAGTCTCTCACCATATCAACACACTAGAACATAACTTCTCAGCTTAACAATGTGCTTAACAACAAATGTACAACTGAGTATCATCTCTAGACCAATGAAATGAAACATGGGTACAATTCATCCCTAAGCACAGTTAACCCACCAATCATTTCTATTGGATTTTGCAAGCTGCTTTTATTGTAAGAGTGAACAAATATACCTGAAGTTCCAGAAGTTCTCATATACAAAATAGTCAACTTCCCCAATATAGGGAAGTTCCCAGTGCAAGCACAAACTATGCTTCTTAAAATAATACAAACTACTTAGAACTAGAGTCTCACTGTAGGTTTGCAGTTCACATTTTCTATGGGATCAAAACGGGGGTAACTGCTCTAGTTTAAGATCATTTGTCTTGCAATTTTTGCTGGATATGATTAAAGACAGGTATCTGTGTCCACAGAACTCAAAGTCAGCATTTGCTATGAGTTGAGAATTGACTGTACTCAACCTGTGTAGAAAATCACCTCATAGCACTGAGGTTAAGTTCACGGCCCTCATAGGCATTTCTGAGTCTCTCAGGTATCAAAGCATGTTTCACAGGCTTCATGGAGGGATAAACTCATCTCTCTTTCCACACAAACGGAAGTTGTTCCTCCAAAAGCCATTTGCTATGGATTGAATTGTGTCCCCCCAAAACATGTTTTGGAATCCTAACCCCTATACCTGTGGATATAATTCTGTTTGGAAATAGGGTTTTCTTTGCTATGTTAATCAGATCAGACCCAACTAGGGTGGGTTCCAAATCTAATCACTTCTAAGTTATAAAAAGAGCAGAATAGATACACACACACTGGGGAAGACAGATGCCATGTGAAGATTGTCTACAAGCCAAGGAACAAAGGAATGCCAGGTGCTACCTATGAGGAAGGAATTGACACTGCCAAGGCCCTCATTTGGACTTTTAGCTTCCAGAACAGTAAGAAAATAAATGTCTGTTCTTTAAAGCCACCCATGTGTGGTATTTCTATCACAGAAGCACTAGGAAATTAAGATACCATTGCAGTTGTCCACAACAAAATAGCCCCCTCCCCTTTTGCCCCAAATGCTTCAAGAAAAGTAATCTGGCCAATGTTGAATTGACATCATTACTTCAAGCCACCACTGTTGCCAGGGTTGGGGTGAGGTGAGGATTACTAATATTACCTGGAGTGTGTCCCAGTGTTGGCCAAATGGAGGGTGCTATGTGCAATTCTTACTGTTCACATTAGTGGGGCAGCCACTCCTTTCCACCCCACCCCCTCCATCTCCTGCCAAGAATCTCTCTGACTTCCTTTGTATCCTCCCCAGTGGCGATACACTGAAGGCATCAATAGGCAGTTTATAATAACGGATATAAAAAGGTTAGAAAAGAACTTCTAAAAAGTGTTTATTAGGGGGAGCATAACTCTCCACTCCTTAAGTGTGGGCTGCACATAGTGATTTGCTTCCAAAGTGTACAGTATAGAAAGGGGAAAAAGAGTAACTTTACAGTGAAGAAGCCTGACAAACACTACCCAGCCAGGTGATCAAGGTCATCATCAACAGTGATAAATCATATTGACAATATGTACTCTTGATATGATGTGACGAGAATGGCACTTTATCTCTGTGGTCTGTCTACGCAAACCCATAACCTCAGTCTAATCACGAGAAAAACATCAGGAAAATCCCAGTAGAGGAGCACCTTACAAAATACCTGACTAGTATTGCTTAAAACTGTCATGTCATCAAAAACAAGGAAAGTCTGAGAAACTGTCACAGTCAAGAGGAGCCTATGGAGACATGATGACTAAATGTAAATGTGGTATTTTGGATGGGCTGCTGGAACAGAAAAAAGGAAATTAAGAAAAAACAAAGGAAATCTGAATAAACTATGGACTTTAGTTAGTAATATTAATTGGTTCATTAATTGTGACAGATGTATCATATTAATGTAAGTTGTTAATAATAGGGAAGACTGGGTACAGAGGAGGGATATGTGGGAATGCTCTGTACTATCTGCTCAATTTTTCGGTAAATCCAAAGCCGTTCTAAAAAATAGTCTATTAATTTTTTAAAGTGTTGATTAAAAAGGGAAAAAAAATAACTCTTAAACTAAGAATGGCTTTCAATTTTGCATATTTTACTTCTTAATAATCGCCACTCTGATGGAGACTGGAGAAATCTTGTATGGCCCCCGGACACCCTTTTAACTCATTACTGATGTCACTCCTGAAGTTTACCCTTCAGCCAAAGATTACAGACCCATAAAACAAAACGAGACTAAATGGGAACACCAGCCCAGGGGCAAGGATGAGAAAGCAGGAGGCGACAGGAAAGCTGATAACGAGGAACCCAAGGTCAAGAAGGGGAGAGTGTTGACATGTTGTGGGGTTAGTAACCGATGTTACCAAACAACATGTGTATTAATCGTTTAATAAGAACCTAATTTGCTCTGTAAGTCTTCATCTAAAGTACAATTTAAAAAAAAATTGCTACTCAATGACAGAAAATGACTCCCTAAAGAACGGGTGTAGTGAAGAGGCACAATTACCTAAGAACTTTGCGATACAGCA